GGTGGGTGTTACACAACGACACCATTCTTCGACTGTGGGTCAGGACGGCATTATCAGCTGTAACCGCCCAATGAGTGTTGTGCAGAATGGCAGCAATTGGCTAGCCATGCATGAGCCACCTAACCATGAAGAGGCCTTCAATTTGGGCAAATTGTGCGCAAAGAATTGTGGGTACTTAATGCCTGCTGAGGATACACACATGTATCCTTGAAAATTTTCTGAAGGAAGGACTCGATGCTTGGTAGAAATCGAAGGATCCTTGACATTGGAACAGTCCTTTGACGGGATTCGATGACATAGCCTCCTTGAAATTCAGCCATTGAAGGATTCTTGACTTTGAGAAGCACCCTCTGATAAAACTGTTTGCAGTTGAGTTGCATTGTGGGTAATGTAGGCACTGGGTTTTGACAAGGAAGATGAATGTGCGGAATACCAAAAGATGATATCTCTGGTTCTGCCGCATCAATTTTGAGACTTTTCTTCTACTGTCAATGTTTTGTCTAAAGTTTGAAGAGAACTCATACAACAGTTAGTTCCAACCAAGTAATCTGACTGGACAAGAGGTATTCCACAAGTTCTGATATGGAGTAAAACATCACTGGTACTTTTAAGTATGCACGAATCACTCTGCTTTACAGGTGCTGTAAACCGTTAAATACATCAACCATTGATTAGCCCACATTAACGGTCGTCATAGGAACCTTTGCGTCAGAGTTGAACATATTTTGACAAACAACATTTGAGTTAAATTATGAGAAGCTGCCAGAAAAGGAGCCAATCCCCAGAGTCAGTCCATGACACCAGGGATCAGCAGGCCCAGGTCTGGCTCCATGGGGGGCCCCCAGTGAACCCATACCAGGCAAGGTGCTCCAAGTCAGACTAAACCTGGGCACCTTCTGTTCGAGGTGTTCCGGACATGTCCCACTGGTAGGAGGCCCTGGGGCAGACCCAGAACACGTTGGAGGGATTACATATTTCACCTGGCCTGGGAACACACTGGGAGGAGCTGGAAAACGTTGCTGGAGAGAGGGACGTCTGGGGTGCTTTGCTTGGCCAGCTGCCTCCATGACCCATCCCCAGGTATACGGATGAAAATGGATGGATGTCAGAAAAGGAGGAGCAGGAGGAAAGAAGCCTTGATGCTTCATTCCAAACTCCCAGGTGTGCTCATATGACATCAGCCAGCGTTGCATCATGACTGTACGATCAAACTGTTGACTCACCGGAATCACACGTCACCAAAGCGACTGACAGCAGACTCTTATTTCACTGGTTGCATGGAAACAAACAGATACATGTAGGATGATACAATGTGGCTGCCTGTGGTGACGTGTAGATCTACATAACATGACAACACAATGTAAAAGAACGTGTGTGTTGCTTGGCAACAGTCCATTCCAGCTGCCAAAGTGTTTGTTTTGGCGGAGACAAATAAATCATTAGATAAACAAACAAATTATAATCTGTTATTGCTTAATACTGCTAACTGGTGCTTTAATAACTGTTGTGTAAGAGCAGTATCACACTTGAGGTTAACATTGAGTGTGAACTGCTTTGAAGTTTCGTCTATGTTCTATGTAACATTAAATATTCATGCTTTAATATGCATGAATCAAAGCTCAAGTTTGGAGTTAAACACTTAAAAACAGAGCGGTTTCATCAGGACCATGTGGGTAAGGTTTGATCACATACTGTATGACTGGCACCATAAACAAAAAAGCCCACAACTGCCTTTAAATTTTCATTTAGATATCGCTGATTGGTGCGGGGTAAACATGACATCACCTCTGTCAAACTGAGCCCCGCCCATTAGAAACCAGTGAGCAAAGTGGTGACACAGAACTCTGTTGTAAAACAATCAAATTTAGAAAATAGTGTGCTCATGTTGGACCTAAACACTCCTACTAGATTGAGAAATTAGGTTTTCGTGGACTTTAAGAGGCTGAAAGAGTCAAGGTGTCCCCTCCCAAACCAATATGGTGCCCTGATGTAACCCACGCTCACTCTTGTGGAAATCCTCAAGGTCTGTGGTTGCACTGGGCCCCTCCAAGCTGTGAATGTGACCTATGAAGGAGGGTGTTGCTGCAAAAGAGCACACAGAAGCAGTTAACCTTTCCTGAATAAATACAGATAAAAAACTCTATTGTAAGTTCACCAATAGGTTTGACTCTCTTGTAATGGGACCATTAACACACACTTCAGCAGTGTGTTTGGGAACAGTAAAATATATGTGACTTAATTCTTTCAGGGAGTTTGTAAAGTTAAACTGTCGTGATATTTTTGACTGATTGAAGTGTAAAAAAAAGCTGACTCTTATTCACCTCTGCATCTGTAACCTGTAATTAATCATTAAGCCATACGTGGCCCAGCCAACACACTTCAGTCAAAATGTAAACAACCATGAAGTGTACAATATCCCTATTTGAATACTGGTCGCAGGGGAAGCATGGGGGTTAAATGAAGGGTGTCTACTTCCTGCAGATAAGTGACGGCCACGCTGAGAAGTTCTAAGAAGTCAAGGAAATTATTTTGACAAGAGAGCAGTGCAAACAATTCGATAACCCTCAGCTGCATGTTTGCCTGCCCTCAGATTGCCACTGCACCGCCAGCCTGTGAGGCCGTGATGCCGTGTGGTGCGTTTTCCTTTCTTTGTAATCTTTTCCAACAACCACTGGTATGCCCTCTGGTCGTCTGCTTTGTCTGGCAGGAGGGTGCCGTCGTTCAGAACGTAGACAGGACACAATCGGCATCGCTGTTTCCTCAGACGGGGATGACATCATGTGTTGTAATGGACAATCATTACACAGCTGGGGAATCTGAGGGGGTGTGGCCAGATTATCAGCCAAACAGATACTCGTCCATTTATGGTTATTCACCTCACGATGGGTCGAAATTCTGTTTTGTTTTTTCTCTTTGGTGTACGTGTGCATTGGAAAATTTACCTGATATCCACATATTTGAGTCACCTGATTAATTGTGATTTATTACAGTGACCAAACCCCAAACATGGAACACGGAGCTTGTGTTTAATGTAATATTTCTGGGAATTTAAAAAATTCTCTTCAGGATACTCAGAGATGCTTTCAAAATAAAATTGTGGGTATTTAAACAACCAAATCCAGATTTTTTTAGATTAAATATATTTAAAGAAGCATGAAGGGATTTTTAAAAAATACTTTTGGTTTTTCAGATAGCAAAATAATTAGCTAGATAAAGAGGATTTACTTTTATGTCTGGTCATGTAAAAGAGTTTTAAAGCTGCAGTTAGTTCAATATGTTTACAGAAAATATATTTAATCAATTGAATACATTAAATAGGACAAAATCCAAATTTCCTTTTGTCCTTCTGTTGGGTGGGGGGAGTTTACATTGGTGGACCACATACTAAGAACCTTAGTATGTCCAAAATCTTGTCTATGTCCCCGGTGGACATGATTCACTGTTGAATTCTATTGCAAACTATTTGGACTGATTATTATCTCTATATTTAAAGAAGCTGTCTACGACATTCAGAGCATATCTATGGTTCGGAGTCTGAGCCGAGATTGCCTGGACACGACTCCCAATATGGAGGTGACTGAGCCGGCGCTAGCAGCTAACAGTGCTAACAGTGCAAACAGTACTAACAACTGCAACAGTGCTGACAGAGCTAACAGTGTTAACCTGGGGGGGGAACTGGAGGGTGGGCATTACGCTTCTGCAACAATGCCATTCCTCCAACGTGGGTCAGGACGGCATTATCAGCAGTAACTGCCCTATGAGTGTTGTGCAGAATGGCAGGGATTAGCTCGCCATGCGTGAGCCACAACACCATCTACCACGACAAAGAACAGAGACACTCGGAGAAAGAGTGTGACTTCATTCTCTGCTCAGGATGCCATTACTCCACGCTCTTTACATATCAATCAGTGGTTTATCTGTAGTTCCAGTTACAGCACCAGAGCCAGCAAAAATCGGACTGGTGACATGTTGGCAGATTTTCGCTGAGAGATGGGGCCAGGGACTGGACCGTCATGGTGAAGAGGGAGCTGAGCCGGAATGTGAAGCTTGTGATTTACTGGCCCATCTACGTCCCAACCCTCACCTATGGTCATGAGCTGTGGGTAGTGACCGAAAGAATGAGATTGTGGATACAAGTGGCTGGAATGAGTTATGAGTTTCCTCAGTGGGGTGGGGCGTAGAGATGGGGGGGGGCCTCAGACATCCGGAGGGAGCTCAGGGTAGAGCCGATGCTCGAGGTGGTTCGGGCATCTGATCAGGATGCCTCCTGGGCGCTACCTGTTGGAGGTGTTCCAGGCACGTCCCAATGGTAGGAGGCCTGCTTCCCCCATGACCTGGCCTCGGATAAGGGGATAAAAATGGATGGATGAGCGGAGAAATCTAGACGCTGGCAAGATGGAGGGAAGTTGTGATACAAGCTGGTTGAAAATCATCTCTTTAAGCGAATATGGAAGAGCGGTAGATCATGTGATATGATCAAAAGCTTCAAAGGGCTGTTAAACTGACCTTGTGGTAAATTTGTTTTGTCGACTGCTTTAAATACATTTTTTTGAATCCCAGAATCCAAGAATACGTCCTCCTTTTGCTCACTATCCACACAAAAAAAGCATGTTTTTCCTTAATGGGCGTGAACTATTGGTGATATCTGAATCCTCTTTTAACGCTCTGTGATGTTTTATGTTTTATTCAGAGAGGCAGACTGATAATAACTGATTTAATCATTCTCCTAATGAAGACAGCTTTTAGTTTAGTCAATAAAATATTCTACTCTGGCCAACACTGGTTGCTCAAGGTCACAGACAGCTGAACACATTTCTTTCAGAGGAGAGTTGAAGCTGCGTTGCCATGGTAACTCTGTCAGCAAGTGGGTAGTGAAGGACCCAAAAATCTACAGCAAAATAACTTCCATCATGTCAGACAGACGTGTGTCAGAAACAGTGTGACCAATCAAACTGGTGTGAATCAGCGAAGCCTCAGGAAGAAGTTTCTGGCATTGTCACTGAGAGAACAAATTATTCTTTAATTGCAAGAAAACAAAAGCGAGCGCTGGCTTGTAATGGTACCCAGGGGCTGGATAATGAGACAAAAAAAACAATTGGTGGAGACACTGAAAAGCATTATTTCAACGCACAGCTTAAACAAATGGCGTTCCACACAGACACAGTCAATTCTTCAGACACCCTGAAGCAGCCGAGAATCGCTTAAAAATAAAAAATAAGCCCAATCAGATTTACGCTCAGTGTGAAACCACGGAAATTAAAATGCTGCAAAGCTTTTGTCCTCCATAAGACCTTTTTTTTGTTATGGCTGGAGAAGCTCCAAATCCTGGGTGGAGCTGTCTGCAACAACCAGAGCATGAGAAAGAAACACTGCATGAAAATAAATGAGTGTCACTTAAAATTCCATTGTTATCAACAATATTTAGCCTGTTTTATATTTCCTTTCCTATTTTAATGTCATCTGTGGTTTGACCAAAACAATGATGACGTCCAATTTGTTTGTTCAAAAACAAAACCACGCTTTCTTTCTTTCTTTTTTAGTTCTTTAACGTCTTCTGCTCCTGCTGAGTTCATATGACATGTCACATGACTACAAGACGCAAAATAAAAAAGCTGAGTTGTAAAAACCCATAAAAAACCCAATTCCTAAATCAAGTCTGTTAACAAATGATTTCCTCCCGGGATGAGAAAGAGGTGTCATTATGTTTTTAACTTCTTCTCAGAGGGTGACGAGCCTGACTCGCCCTCCTCTGACCCCACGTGAGTCCGTTTCAGGGCGCTCTGTGCCAGGCTCTTTTCCCTCTGCGGCCTGGTGTCTTCAGGTGTGACGCCAGTCTCTTCCTCTGATTCTGAGGAGACGTGGGGGTTCTCTCTGACATAAGATGCTACAGTCCGGTGTCGCCCGTTCACTCCTGGGCTGTGTCGGCTCGGAGAGTTACTGTATAACGCCACCGAGCTGCTACAGGCCTCTCCGCTGTCAGAGCTGTCCAAAGCCGTCTCTGCAGCGGCGCATTCCTCAGTCCTGTGTCCATCCAGTGAGTGCGGAGACGCAGCTGGATGTCTTTCCAGCTCAGTCCTGTCACTCCCTTCCTCGTGCTCTTGGCTCTCGGGGGACATTACTGGGCTCAGACACACAAAGTCAGAAGGGCTCAAACATTTTTCCTCATCTCTGGCTCCGCCAGCGCCGGGCTTGATTTGGAGGGAGTTTTGTACCTCTCCTGAGGAAGAGGAAGACAGGTCATCGATCGATATTGACGGGTAACTGCAGGAGTCGATGGCTGAAAACAGAGCCTGCACAGACTCGGGTCGATCCCCAGCTCTGGAGACGACATGCATGCGTCGTCGCCTCATGACATTGCGCCGCCTCACCGCGCTACGCCGCTCCTCGTCGTCACTGCTGGAGCTGGAAGTTGATGTTGAGGAGCTGGAGGCTCCGGCAGGAAGTGAAGGCGAGGAGGTGGGGCTGGACAGCGTGGAGTTGTCCCTGGGACTCGGGGAGCGAGGCCGTGGCATGGGGTCGAGCCAAAACTCACTTGAGTCCGAGTCTTCGTTCACAAGGAATCCAGATTGATGCCGCTGATGGCGGCTGCGCCTCCTCGGCCGCTCCTCCACCTCTGCTTCGACGTGCTCTTCCCCTCCTGAGGCATCAGGTCCAGCCAGCGAGGAGGACGACGAGTTATCCGAGTCACTGTGATGACCAGCAGCAGAGACGGTGGTGGGAGCTGTTGGAGTGGCTCTCGTGGTGCGACGTCCCCGAGCGTGTAGCTGCATGATGGCCTCCTCACTCAGGTCGCTGTCAGAGTCGGAGCTCCAGCCCTCGATCTCTCGACGCACCAGCGAGTCGAAGAAAGCCATCATGCGCGGGTCCTCCTGGATGGACTGGCTGACGTAGTCGTGGGACAGACCGCTGCCGCTGTTGAGCACCAGGCTGATGTACTCCTCGTGGGTGTAGAGGCTGCGGGACTTGTCCTCCACACGGCCCTCCAGGTCACCAAGACTCTCGGGCTGCTGGTAGGGACTCCACACCTGAGACAGATGGAGAAAGGAGTTGTGGATAGAGGAATGACATGATGAGGACAGGATAGTGAAAGGAGAGTAAGGAGACAAAGAAAAAAGACATTAAGTTGGACAATAAAAAGGCAGAATGACAGGATGAAAAATGAACGGAGAGAAGGGAAGTTTCAGGTCAGTTTGACAGATCCTCTCTTATTTATAGCCTTTTATTACAGAACACCTGGACCTGTATCACCTTTCACTCTGTGCAGTAAAATGTACAAAACACAGAGATTGTGTTACTGTCCTGACAAAGAAGATGCTGAATCTCTCCTACCAGTGTGCAGATGCTTTTGTGTGAATGGTTTCTTCTTTTACATTGATTTTTAGAATGTTTGTGAGTAAGAAACCACATTTCCTGATTACCTTAACATGATAGAGTTCTCAATCAGAGGAGTACGTATATTCAAAGACAGAGAAAATAAGAGAACATTTTAGATATGTGACACAGCAAGCTGACGGTCAATTGTTGGCCAATTTTGGGCCGTCAATGAGCGTCTGTCACTCTAATTTCTGCAGTCTGTCCCATACCGTTGGCACTTGTCGGCAATTGTTGACTGTGTTTCGGCCAGTTCAGCATGTTGCACTGAGCTTAACTGCCAATCACTCTGCCAATCATTCTGAGCTTCACTGCCAATCATTCTGACTGGCAGTTAAGCTCAGTGCAAAAGCGGAGAAAATAAAATGAGGAAAGTAAACAAAAGACAGAAATCAAGAGGGTGTGAGATCAAAACAAATTTGTTGTATGACGTAAGATTATTTTTTTTTAGCCATTGAGCAGAATCAGTTCATAATTGTTTGTGTTATTTTTTTTACAAGCACACTGTAAATACCGTTTGTTCTGGGTATGAAGAGTTACTTCATCTCACACTGGCACAGAACGTATGGCTAGCTGGCTGTTGGCTGTGGTCGACATTCAATGTTCGTAGTTTTTTAAGTCAGTTTGGTGTGTCTGGTTTAGAGCAAACCACCAACAACCGAGTGAAATGGAAGACATTCGTCAATGGCCGATGCTCCCTTGAGTAGCAAAGGGCTTAAGTAAGTCAGTAAGTTGGTGTGTCTGGGCCTTTAAATTAAACTATAATTAACAAGCTTTATTGTATTCTTGGACAAAAGTGGTAATCGAGTTGCTTGCTGACAAATGTAACCTCCTTCAACGCAATATATTTGTGCAAACATAAACTATTATATCAGTGTGACAGGATGACAATAGAGTCAGTGTGACATATCGTGTTGGGTGTGTCGAGTCATTTATCATGTGTAGAAACAACTACTGGATGCACTGTTGCCAGATTGGGCATTTTTTCCACCCGGCTGGGCAACTTTTTACTCAAGTGGGCAGGTATGAAATGGTTTTGAGTTGGAATGAGAAGTTATAGATGCATGCAGATGTCATTAGACTCAAAACAAAGCACCAACCACAGGCTAGAGCAAACAGTCTCATTTTACAGCTAAATAGTACACTAAAATATGTTTCTGGAAACATCAGAGACGAGAAACGGGCAATGCAGTAACAGTATCTTGGTTCATATTTGATCAGCACTGCCTAGTTTAACAGTTTGACTGCAGTTCACAAGCAGTGACTGACATGATTAATAGCTGCTTTAGAGAATCCTCGGCTCTGATTGGTTATTTCATTCAGGTGCGGTGGATTTTAACAATGCTATTAAGAGTACTAGGAGGAGGAGGAAGAGGAACGTTATTTTTTCTCCACAGATTATGTCTCATGCCCTACTGTGTGGATATAATGACAGTTTCAGCAAATAAGGAGTAATGTTTTTGTAGCTTTAATTGTCCCAGTTATTATGACTGAGACTGACGGAGGAGGTAGTGACTGAAAACTGATGACCAAGTCTAAATTATGTGAATTTAAAAATGTAGAAAATTATTTCCTCTCATAATTATTATTTTGTTATAAAGCCACCACTCTATGAACACCTTGTCAAAGCTTACATATGTATCCATGATAACTTTTAAAGGTTAATATGATGCTATCCAAAGGCTTGGTCAAGATAACCTTATTACTGTAACCCTGGTTTTGGCCTAATTTGCAAACAGGAGACCAGAGCTGCTCTTTATTTTTCTTCCTGCACTCATTTTCAGCCACAGAACATCGTGAGAACAGCTGAGTGGGAGTGAGCTGCTCATTGATAGAAGTAAAGGATAACAAACAACATGTGTTTGGTTTCTATGAGCTGCACAAAATAACTGACTGATAATGCTCAACTGAGTCAGTCAAAAATCAGCGACACATTCAGGCAACTTTACACCTGGTTTACCTGCCTGGTTTATTCATCAGGTCAGCACCAGGAACACAGTGACTCAGAGAGCTTTCACTGAAAAGGACTTATGATACAGGAGCGCAGCAGCTCTGTGATATGACTGTTATTCCAAATGCACAAAATCTTAATATTGTGAGCAGTATTTTTTGAAATGGCAGGCTCGTGTCAAAGAAGTCAACAGATCAGAACAAACTGCTTTTAATTTTAACTACAAAATAAAACTGCTGTTGCAGCCTAATACCAGCTGTAATACAGCGACAGCTTTAGCAATAACACTTGATTTACTCTTTTGCTTATAAAGCCTTCAGTATTTGATCCAGAATACCGAGACTTTTTAAATCCTGGCAGTTGATCGCAGTCTGGATCTGGTTTCAGAAACACTGTATCTGTGGAACCATTCATATCTTCCCATGACCCAGTTTCTGAACGCTGCCCAATGTCATCTGTCACAGACGACAGTCAATAATGGGGGGAAATCCATCTTTTTTCACTCCCCACTCCACGGAGGGAAGTCGCAGCTCAGGCAGTTGCTGCGTGGTGTCATTGGAGATCCATGTCTCACTTAAGGGCACGTCTACTGTCTGAGGACACAGACTCACATTTAGTCTGTCCACTTATAGAACAATTTCTCCAACCACTGCAGCAAATACAAGATTTACCTCTCTGTACCTCACCTCTAGGCCCTGAAAAACACAGATGTCTTAAATGATCATTCGTGTATCAATTATTCAGCCTGTGTTACACTGAATTCTTTCTTTTACAAGTAGCGCGCCTGGGCAAGTGCATGTTTAACTCGGCTCATGCATTCCATTGAGCAGCGTTTAAACGCACGCATTTGCCCAGGCATGCTACTCGTCTGTCTGTGCGTGTTTTAAAAAGTAAGTATTTAACAAAAGTGGATGTGTTTGAGAAGTACTGAGCACACAACTGGATAAATGAACTTTGATTATACTGCATGGGCAAATGGATGTTTTGATTTGTTTTGCAGTTGTTAAAAGCTGCCCCCCTTTACTCCAATTCATTGAGAATTTTCTCAGTTTTTGGATTCCTCGTTCACCACAGAGGCATGCGAAAAAAAGATTTCTTCACTAATTCAATGCACTATAGAGTGAGTAATTGATATACAAATGATAATTTTGTTCCTTTTGACTTTCTTTCTCAAAGGGTAAGTAGAGTATTTTTCAACCTGGACCCCATGTTCCCATGTTTTTGTGTCTAAGTGACTATTGGGAACAAAATGTTTTAAAATTAGTCCAGTATTGACCTTTCACTGAGCCCTGCCCCTAACTGCACTCCCTGAAGAAATACTATCGTATTTTTGGAGAAATGAACCAGTGATTCCAGAGAGAAGCAGACAGAGGGGTCTACAGTCTGTGTTTGAAGGATATATCCAGGATGTCAAACTGACTCAGCAGCAACAACAGGTTAAAAAGACAAAGATAGTTAGAAGCTAAAGCCAAACTATAGGCTACAGATCACAGTGTAAAAGTGAACCACCACATCACTGCTGATCGCCACACAAGACAATGAATATAAAGGGAAACTTTGCTGTTATTGAACCAGCTGTGTGGCATCACAGTGTGTGCAGATGAACAGTGTTTGGCTTCACTCCGTGCTGCTGCCAGCACCTGGACCTCCACTGCCAGACGGGCAGGGATCTCCAGGGGAAGTCAAACAACATTCATCAGCGCACAATGTGATGACACACAGCTGGTTGAATATCAGCAAAGTTCCCCTGCTTCCCTTCACTGGTTCCTGTACAGCAGGGTCGCTCTTTGTTTCACTGTTATAATCATTAAAAAGCAAAAGCAGCATGTGTATACATTCAGTAGGCTATATCTTCAGTAGCTAGCTAGCTAACCCTACACTTTTCAGGGTTTGATTTTGGTCTTGGAACAGGGAAGAAACGTATATCTTTTTCCAACCTCTCCAGGTAACAAGTATCATTAATACACGACGTGCCCCAGGCACAACATTTAGCTCCAAATCCACAAAACCAGCCCGAAAATGAAGGAAATCTGAGTCAATGGAGCACAGCTGAGTTGTTGTTGGACCCTGGTCTGAGCCGGCCCGATGCTACGTTATGATTGGCCAAGTCTGAGTCCAGGGGTGGGACTAAGCGAAGGATCAAACAAGCTGCGACCTTTTTGTTAAAGAGTAAGATCCATTTTGATTAGGCAGAAACAGCCCTAAAATCAGCATCACCTATTCCACCAAACTCCATTTAAATCAAGTGTTTTTGGCGTGTATAGAGTCAGCATATTTTCACATCTAACTGGGTGAATTAAGGGTTTATTTCAACTCAACCAGAGTTGGTGATTGTTGGAACAGTGGAAAGACAAACCAAACCCGCTTTAAAAGTTTGAATGAAGTGTGTTTTACAGTGATTAAATCACTGTTTATCTAAATGGAGTCTGGTGGGTTTTGCAACAGCATTTTCAGGGCTGTTTCTGGTTAAACAAAAAGGATCTTACTCTTGAACAGAAAGGTCTATCTCTGTAGGGATCCTTTCCATGATGTTGTCAAACACTTATAATAACAATCTGAGCCTGTCAGTGGCAAAAAAAAACACTTATAGTGGACGTAAATTGACAGTGTGTGCATGCCCCATGTGGTTACACTGCAGCCTGTTTTGTGGCTGCCTGCTGTGGTGCTGTCACTCAATACTGGACCAATTTAAAAAGTCATTACTCTCATTAGTTACTTAGACAACACTGGTAAATGGGGTCCAGGGTTGAAAACACTGAACGTACCCTTTAAAAACACAGCAATATTGTTTCTTTACTAACCTTGATGACTTTCTCCACGCCAGAGGAGCAGATCATGTAGGTGTGAGGGTTGAAGCGGACCTGGTTCACAATGGAGCGGTGACCCTTCAGGACCATGAAAGCCCCGTTGACCACACGACCAGGGCCGCCTTGGAGGAAGAAAACGATGTGGGTTTGTTTAATGTGACACCAGCAGACAAACACATGAGCTCAGTCACAGAGATACAACACTATGCCAAGCATTTGTTCAAACAAACACATCCAGCTTTACAGAGACAGCCATGATTATTTAATCTGAGAATACAGACTGTGAAATACCCATTAGTCTGACACATAACTGGCCCAGTGCACATATTTTCAGTGTGAGAAACTCCATAAATGTGTCAGGTGGAGCTATGAACGGCCACATTCCTGGAGTGCTGCATTTTTGGAATTTTCTTTCCAGAATAATTACATCTGAGGCGTGTTCACTGTAGGTCCATGTGGAGCAGTCACTTTAAACTTTTAAGCATTTACCTTTCGTTTTTTAGTTTGTCTGGACAGGTGACAACATTCACACTCAGGAAAAGTTGGACACAAGTAAGAACTTAAACTGAACCAATGCCTGCCTACTCATGGTGGAAAATATTACACCAAACCCCCTTTAAGAAATATGAAATATTAACAATTCTTTAAGTGTTCACAAAACCACAGAACTCTAGAAATACAAGATAAAAAGCATCATATGTCGACAGTTTTCTTGTCAATTCCGCATCAATAAGATAAACTGTATCTGCGTACAAACTCTAAATTTTAGATTTTGTCGCCTCAGCTTGCTACCAGTTTCCGTTGGTTAGCTGGGTGTCTACAGATATAACCAAGTTAAAGTTAAGACTTTTCAAAGACCTTGCATTAAGAATACTTAATTTAACATAATATAAGACTTTTAAAGACCTTATATCAAGAAAACTTGATTTAAGACAATTTAAGACTTTTTAAGACTTTATGTTAAGAACATTTAATTTAAGACATTTCAAGACTTTTTAAGGCCTTATTTTAAGAAAACTTTATTTAATACATTTTAAGACTTTTTAAGGCCTTATATAAAAAAAAACTTAATTTAAGACTTTTTTAGGCCTTATATAAGAAAACTTAATATAAGACATTTTCAGACATTTTAAGGCCTTATATTAAGAAAACTTAATTAAAGACTTTTAGGGCCTTATACTAAGAAAACTTAATTTAAGACAATTTCAGACTTTTTAAGGCCTTATATTAAGAAAATTTAATTAAAGACTTTTTAAGGCCTTATATTTAGAAAACTTGATTTAAGACAAGTAAAAACTTTTGAAGGCCTTATATTAAGAAAACTTTATCAAATACTTTTTAACACTTTATACTGAGAAAACTTAATTTAAGACAATTTAAGACTTTTTTAGGCCTCATATAAGAAAACTTAGTTTAAGGCCTATATTAAGAAAACTCAATTTCATACAATTTAAGACTTTTTTTTAATATAAGACAGTTAATATAAGACATTTTGAGATTTTTTAAGGCCTTATATTTATAAAACTTAATTTAAGACAATTTAAGACTTTCTAAGGACCTGTAGACAACCCGTTTCAGTGGGAGGAGACTGTTGGAATGAGAGGTCGAACCATTTCAAATTAAAGATTTCTCACTAAAATACGTGCTCAGATACACACTGAATTAGACACAAACTCTTATTCTCTCCACAACATCACCAGTTTCTCCTCCTTTTCCACAGTACAAGAGAACCGAGACTTGTTCATGTTCTTGAGCCTCCCCGGAGTCCCCCCCCCCCAATGTTTACTGTCTACCTGCTTTGCTGCTTCCTGTTTGGTGCTGGAGAGAGTGCAGCTATTGGTTGTTAACAATGTTCATGTCATTGAACTTTAGTATTTGCATCAGATAAGACTTTAAAAACTGAGATGATATTAAACATGTTTGATTTAATGGAAACGTCAAGATGAGGAAAAAACTGACTTCAGTCAGCTTGAACTGAGTTTCATGACCACCTTACTCCAAACAATCACGATCACAGGAGCGTGTGACAACTCTGGCAAAACTCTCATGATTTTATTGAACATTTGAAATTTGTCTTCCACCGTGAAATCACTTTAAAAGTGGTTTGGTGTAAGGCTGGCATAAGACTACAATAAGAGGCTGATATGTGATCGTTTCTCATGCCTGGAAAGTATACTGTGACCAGAAGAACTGAGGGCAAACCACAGTCTGGGCTGATGCTCCTTGGCAGAGAGCACAGAGACGTCCATCATTCTCTCTGGAGGTCAGTCGGGTTTGTTTTGCCTAGTCTGACGCCACTGAAATCTTTAACCTTGCAGGATGACAGGTCACATAAACTTGTCCTTAGAGCAAGTATTTGCAAGCTGTGGTACATCTGTTTATGAACCCTGACTTCCTGATGAACAGTGTGAACTTAAACAAACCAAAAACACAAAATGAAACTATAAAAAAAGTATTTAGCAGAGAGACAAAAGAAACATTCACATCATGGGAGCTAAATGACATCTTGTTCTAACACCATTTTTAACTTCCATAAATTGAATCCCATACCTGAACCTGCAGGTCGGCCGATACGAGTACCAATCCCATACTATTTTTTTTGAAAAATGTTAACAGCTGTATAATACTAACTAGGGCTGCCCCCTAACAATCGACCAAACGTTAGTCGACTAGAGAGGTCATTGGTCGGCAAGATTTCATTGGTCATTTAGTCACAGAAAAAAAAAGGAAACTATTAGAAGCTGCACCTCGCCCATATAGGATCCAGCATTTTAAATAGTATTGGAGGTATTTATGATGCTGGTATTGAAACACCTCTACTTTTCTGACATGTGGAGACCCAAAACTTACTACGCATCAGCATACGTCCAAATAAATGTGCAGTCAGTGCAGACAGATTAAGTAACTCACCTGCTTCTGGGTCCTTTGGGATTTTCCACATGTAGAGGTTGAAGTCATCCGACCCTGACAAGATGTACTGAAGGACAAAACAGAAGGATGTTTAGAAGTTTAAGTCTGCTCCGTTTCTTTGGACAAAACTTTCCATATATACAGAACATGTACACACAGATTAACTGAGGCAGAGGAACCCTGGGGGGTCAATGTATGGCACGAAACCACCAGATCTTATCGCAGCGCTCATCGTCTCATAATGTGGATCAAACACGCTCCTGACATGACATGACAGTCTGACCCCGACACAGCTCCTGCTCCTCGTCTGAACTGTTATTAGACTTTGTTAACAGATGGTTCCACTTAAAGCTGTCGCTTAAGGTAAGTTTTGACAGAGCCGCAGAGTGGGGGGATGTGCTCGGGTCTTATACATACATGTGTCTTTTAAAGAACCATATAGGGAAGGAAAGGGCTGGCAGCCAGTGATGGAAAAAGTATTCAGAACTTTTACTCAAGTGAAGTAGTAACATCAGAGTGAAGAAATACTCTGTTACAAGTAAAAGTCCAACATTTAAAACTTCACTTTGGTAAAAGTACTAAAGAACAGTTGTTTTGTTGAGTTACTGCCTCCAGCGAAGGAGTCCAAGTATCTCAGTGTCTTGTTCTTGAGTGAGGGTAGAATGGAGGCCGAGATGGGTTGGCAGTTTGGTGCGGCGTCTGCAGTGATGCGGGCACTGCGCCAGACCATCGTGGTGAAGACGGAGCTGAGCCAGAAGGTGAAGCTTTTGATTTACTGGTCCATCTATGTCCCAACCCTCACCTATGGTCATGAGGTCTGGGTAGGGACTGAAAGAATGAGATTGCAGATACAAGCGGCCGAAAAGAATGAGAAGTGCGTAGTGATACGGTTGGCAGGTGTAGTTTGGCAGGGACAAACTAGTTCCTACAAGAAACTTCTGTCATCAAGGTCTGTGGATTATGTTGAGTAACCAGGTCATGATTTCTGGAAAGAGACATTGATGTTGAGTGCCATCTAGTTCAGTTATACTCAGAAGACATCCATCCATTTTCTTCCACTTATCCGGGGCCCGTTCGAGGGTACTCTAGATGTCCCTCTCCCCAGCGATGCTTCCGAGCTCCTCCTGGAGGACCCCAAAGCGTTCCCAGGCCAGATGAGATATGTAGTCCCTCCAGCATGTTCTGGGTCTGCCCCAGGGCCTCCTACCAGTGGGACATGCCTGAATACCTCTAACAGGAGGCACCCAGGAAACATCCTGATCAAATGCCCGAACCACCTCAACTGATCCCTTTTGATGCAAAGGAGCAGTGGCTCTACTCCGAGCTCCGTGTGGATGTCTGAGCTCCTCACCCTATCTCTAAGGCTGAGCCCAGACACCCCACGGAGGAAACTCATTTTAGCCGCTTGTATCCACGACTTCATTCTTTCAGTCACTACCCAGAGCTCATGACCATAGGTGAGGGTTGGGACATAGATGGACCAGTGAATCGAAAGCTTTGCCTTCTGGCTCAGCCGCCCTAAAGACAACGGTTTGACTGACCACTGCAGAAGCTGCACCAAACTGCTGATCCATCTCATGCTCCATTCTACCCTCACTCCTGAACAAGACCCCGAGATACTTGAACTCCCTTGCTTGACACAATAACTCTCTCTGTGGCTGAAATCTCAAAGACTCTGCACCTCACACAAACAATCTAGATTGATAAACAGCACTACAGGTAAGAGGAAGAATATGTTTCTCTTTTGTTTCGGGGTGAACTGCCCCTTAAAGTACAGCTGACTTTATGCACTGACTTTAATATCTAGGAGAAGTATTATAAATGGATGTAGCCACAGCAAAGCGGCTCACGTTGTGGTTGCACCCTGTGGCTGTGGTTACAGTCTGAGCTCGGATTTTCTCACCAATATATGAGCGTTTGGCTGGAGGCTGGTTCTACACTCGACTTTTATAAGCATCTACTAAATATTTAGGTGAGCAGTGTGAAGGACCAGAATGTTTTCCTTCTTAAAAATACTCCTCTGTTCATACTTGGCTCTTTTCTTCTTCCTTTTAGCACTTTTCTGTTCAGCTGCAGTGTCTGCTGAGCTTTATTTTACCATCTGGACCGGAGGCACATTTTTGTTCAATCATTTACATTAGTTTTTTGGCCTTGTCTCGTGCTGCTGGTTTTCTGACATTCTGTCAAGTTGAGAATTATTTTTGTGCCGTTTTATCTGCCAATGATTTAAACAAATGTCTTCAATTTCCTTCTGTAAATATTCTGCTGCTCTCCGTGAGCTTTTTCAGTCACTCGCTCAAGTCACTGTTTTACCTCCTTTGGTAAGAATACCAGTCGTCTATGACTTTATCTGAAAAGAACCTGACATAAAATGCTCCGCAGTCATTTAAAACCATATCACTGTTACTCAGACCACTGTAGCTTCAGGGCACATGAACACACTCTGAACTGAACACCTGTGTGCTCCACCTCAGGTTCCCAGAGGACACGTCAAGAAGGAATGTCACACCTGTAACTCCCTCCCTTTTTCCTTTCCATCATTTTTGTGTGGTGAGTTGCCACCCTGCACCTCTGCTTTCACGTCACTCTGAGAAAATCCTCTGCTGTCTGTGGTTCTGCGTCTATATGAGGAAGTTTCTGAAGAACCAGAGTGCTGTGAGAGCAGTAAATAAACAAGCCGAATCATCTGGTTAAACTCGATCACGGTCTGTGTCACATGTTAAAGCTTCTCTTTTCCTCTAAACTCTGCTGTCTTATTAAAATTCACATCCTGTATTTACACTGTATAAATTATTCTGCATAAAAATCCTAAAGAAATTTTCCAGTTTTGTTCTCAAACTGAAACTGTGGCTTGCTCACGACCCTCCAAAATAAATCTGTAGGCAGTCACACTCGCAGTCTGTAAGCTCACACACAGTGGGAAGGGGTGATATGAATAAAATTGTCACTGTATAAATAATCTCTATAAACAGATATCTGCATATGTATGCAGCATTTACAGGCAACAGGACAAGATTTTGGTACCAGAAACATAAACCAAACCAATAAAAACCACAACAAACCAATAGCTTTTTCTTTCTTCTCAGATATCTGTATGTAGAGATGAGTCAAAAGATGTCGTCTCTCAAATACACTAGTGTGTCTCAAGTTGCTTCCTGTTACATTTAGAATTGATTTTTATCTTCTCCTCCTTGTATACAAAGCCCTAAATGAGCTCGGACCAAGCTACACTGCTAACACCCTTGTTAACTATCTGCCTTCAAGAACACTGTGATCATCTGCTGCTGGTTTATTGGAGGTTCCCAGCAACAGGAAGACGAAGATCAGGGATGCAGCCTTCGTCAATTACACCCCAAAGCTATGGAACACACTACCTATAGATATCAGGGAAGCTAGCTCATTTAATATTTAAAAAAAAAGCTAAAAAGGGTGCAAACCTCCTGACTCCACCACTCAGGACCAAGCACCAGACCTGGGGTTTCAAACATAGGGCCCATGGGTCAGAATCGGCCTGCCAAAGGGTCCAATGTGGCCCACTAGATGACTAGACCAAGAGGTGCCAGGTTTCAGGAGCAAGTTAAACAATGCCTACTTCATGTCAAATTCTGTTTCAGAGGCTTTTCCTCCCTGACCAGAATACAGCCCTCTGCTACAACAATAAATACTTACTGTGACTGTGTTTAAAGATACTGAACACTGTGCCAGATAATGTCAATCAGCAGCTTCAGTTCAAAAGAATCTGTATCGGGAAATGTTTGGATAAATGTACATGTAATGACAGTGAGAAGTCGACTGACTGAATGTGGAAAAACTGACATACTGTATAGAGTATTGTGCGGTGGTTTTATTGGTCCAGCCCATCTGAGATCAAACTGGGCTGTATAACTAAAATGAGTTTGACACCCCTGGAGTAGACGGTATGTCAGTATCTCTGGTTGACAGATTTATATCGTGTAATAGTATTTACTGTATGGTCATATTGCTATTGTTTGTTTTTACAGCCTCTAGTGGTCAAACAGTTTTACTGCAGCTCTGAGTGTATCACAGCAACTTAAAGTGATTATTAAACCCCAAAAACCTCAGGAGTAATATTAATAATAATATTTACCAGGCTGAAGAGCAGTGATTCACTGCCCTGTCTGAGAAGGAGTTTCACGTCTGTTGCATCACAGCTGGATGTGGTCAGTAAATGTGCTCTGTTGCATTTGTAACTACACCTAACAGTGATGTCACAGTGTCCTGACATACCCTGGAGTACACTGTACATCACTGCAACGAGGTCAGAAGGTAAACCAATGACATACAGCAGAAAATAAATTTTTTCTCTTGTTTCTTTCCCTAAAAAGGGGGCGTGACCTTGGTGATAACAGGATGCCTGTCTGGGCTATGTGTATAATGACATTTTAGTGGTCACGCTGAAAAAGTGATGAGTTGTATGCATTTATTGTTTATTTATTGTCGACATAATTATTTAATGTTCCTCTTTAAACATATCTGAATCATGTAGAATTAACTCGATCTGAAGAGATTTGAAGTCTACATGTCTCAATCATGTTGAAATAAACAAAAGAAGTCATGTTCTGTTCAATGGAATGGAAAGCCCCGCCTCCTGGGAACGGAAAGGGTAATTAAAACCTAACAAATCAGTCAAAGGTAGAGATGGTCTCTTGAGATGCAGCATTTTTAGTGCGCTTTTATCCAGTTTATCTGCTGGTTAGCACTTTCAGCTAATCAATGCTAATGCAAATGTTAGCTACGATTTGCTAGCCAAGCTAACATTAGCCTCAAATATATTTCAAAACCATATTTGTTAACATTAATAATTCCAGAATATTTCCAGATATTTTTCACCAAGTAAAAGTTATTTTTGTGATATCGAATGTGTTTTTGTGCTTATGCTTATAACATAAAAAAATCTTAAAAGTTACACGATACATTGGAGTTATATTAGCATTAAGAAATCAAGTTGGAGTTACAGATAAAAATCAGGTACCATGGACATGATTAAATTACTCTGACATTATACAGTAAGTTGGTGTTACAGTAACTGAAAATTATATGTAAAGACAACATGATTCTTTTAAACAGTCTAATGTGAATTAAATGTATTTTGGTTTGACGAGCAATGGTTATTGAGAAAATTTTTAATGGTTTATGTGTTCATTTTAATGTGTTTGTGTGGGACCACTGAACACATTAAAATCAAGTAAATCCAAAAAATTTTTTTCCAGTGCGTGCGGGGCAGCACTAGATTTTAAATCAGTTTTTTTATGAAAATATTTTCATAAAACTGCCCAAAAAATTTATAAATATGTTCAAAACTATTGCAAAACATTCTGTTAATTTCAAACCATTTCCTAGAAAACCTTTTTTTTAATCTTTTAATTTAATTTCTTTTCCAGGAATTTCATGACTGTGGGAACCCTGTTTATCTTTGTCGTAAGTTGAGAAAAAGAAAAATGCTTAGTTTATATCTTTAACTCAGACTCAATTATATACGTACGCATATGAAAAGACTACATCTAATAATCGTGAGTAAATTATAGGATTATTTATGACTTCTGTTTGGGCTTCAGGCCACAATCTCCACTCATCATTTAGAGATCAACAGTCTCTCTAAATTTCAATTCAGATCCAGTTTTTCAGCGCTACTTGGCGGCAGGTGAAGAGATTCAAACCAGCAACCCTCCCCTACAGCCCTGACCTGATCCTGTAACCTTTAAACTCCTTCACTCATGTAGAGAAGGATAACTTTTAAGCCTTCGTGAGCTGCACTGACACCCGAGAATGATGTTAACATAATAAACATGGCTGCAGGGTGATGTCATGTCTGAGGAGGACCAACGGGAGGACTGTTGGCTGAGCACAGGGGCTTCTGGTGTTCCTCCAACACCGAAAAGTCCCAATTTCACAGACGGAACTAATATTATTCTATTTTTACTCCGACTGCTCCCACATGTTCCTGATACTCTCCTTCCATTTAAAGAAACCACGGCGTCAGATAAAACAATGTCTCCACTGTTTGTGTTGCTCTATCAGAAGCTCAATCACACCCGGGAGAGCCATACATGCTGGCTTATATGTACATGATATGGAAAATTTCAGACATACATTTCCTTGTGTGTGGGTGGATGGTGTGTTTGGAAATACTGGGATACTGTTACACTTTGGAAATAGATGCCTTCAAATTCTGCTCGCCTCTTTTTGCCGTATAATTCTCTACTAGACGTACTGGTGATAGTTTTAGTTGAGGATTTGTGACCCACCTGATCTTTGTCCCCCGCAAAGCAGCAGCTTTTCATGGTGCAGGAGTTGAAGTACCCCTGGTTGTCGAACTGGAAGCTGGGCAGGCGGGAGTGCAGCTCGTAGAGGACGGGCGGCAGGCGGCGACGCAGTGCCAGCAGCTGGGTGCCGGTGCTGTTGAAGCGAACACTCATGGCGCTCTGCAGGGACATGCTGCCTCCGTAACGCAGCAGTGAGCTGAGAGAGTAGAGGGAAAGAACACATTAAAGCAGGGTGAGACTTGTACGCATGGATACTCTTATTTCCCAAATCTGCCTGAATCAGATGTCGGGAGAGTTGAGCTTGATATATTATCACAAAGGATTGTTAATGTCATTATCATAATGAGCCTGACGTTGATTAGTGGGAATTATTTACTTGATTTTGAATATCGTGAGCCCTGAGAGGCCTTGCTCCAAGTTACATAATAGATTGTTTATTGCCCTGTGTTCCTTCTCGCACCCTGAGATTCACAGATGCATCTTTTCTTGCTGTTCTGAGAGTGCAGATTAATTCATAAAGATGATCGAGCCTTTGCAATCAAAGCTCCATGACTTTGAAATGATCTGCCTGAGGAGATCAGGGCTGCAAACTCAGTCTCATCTTTTAACTGCTTTATTTTTGTGTGTTTACTCTGTGATGTGTATTCTGTTTTTACTGCTTTTACCTTGTTTTATTTGCTTTGTCTTTTATTCGGTTTTGTTAAGCACTTTGTAACCATGTTTCGAAAGGTGCTATTGTAAATAAAGTTTATTATTATCATTACTATTATTATATTTAGAAACCTTATGTATCAGTGTCAAAACCACTAATCTGAGACCAAGTTTTGACCAAGATCAGAGTGTATCAAGACCAAGACCAGACCAGTGAAAGTCCCACTCACAATAAAAATGTGAAGCCTGCAAACCACAGGCCACATTCCCACAAAAAAAAACAAACCAAGAAAACAAATGAAGATCCCTCTTTATGCATCTCTATTCTTCCACACTGTATATATGTATGCATCTATCATGAGAAATGTCTTGATAAAAATATTTAAGTCATTACAGAGGTGAATTTTACATGTGGAAATTTTTCTTTGTTTTCGATGAGGATCCAAATAAATACTTATCATCACATGACAGTCATGTGACCAGAGCATATGTATTTAAAGATGGCGTGTTCAATGGGAGAATTGGACTGTCCTTATTTCTTTCTGTCCTTTATTTTAACACATGGACTCATAAATATTTTACCGGTGTCCCCACACAGTGTTCTCTATGGTGTTTATAGTTTGTCTAAACATCTAAAAATACTTTTAATATAGAGTTTTTAAAAAAAGATGGCGTCTTCAGACATACAGCTGAGTCTGAAGTAGAGCATTAGCTTGAAACGTCACTTGTGGTTGTGCTAAGAAAACTGCATTTAAGGGATCTAGAGTGTGCAGACCTCATGGTTTTATGCCTCCGCACCGACAATAGCCATCCTATTTTCGTGAACGCGACATCTCAAGAACAACTTGAGGGAATTATTTTTTTTTCTTTTCAAATTTGGCAAAAACGTTCACTTGAAATCAACGCTGAACTGATTAGATTTTGGTGGTCAAAGGTCAAAGGTCAGTGTGACTTAACAGAACACGTTTTGGCCATGCCTCAAAACAAGCCCAAAATATATAATTTAATAATTAACTTAATATCGTAAACATGCAGGCGACTAGTTGACTAATGGTCCTAAATGACGACTACTGGTCAACCAAACTTAAAACAGATTTTTTTCTTCAAATACACTCGAAAGAGCTCATTTGCAAAAACAGATAAGAGCCATTCTTCAAAGTGCTCAGTTAAAAAAACATGATTCCTTGAAACATTTTGGATATCTTAGCATTCTGACTGATACTCACTGGTTCACTCACACAATAAATAATATCTGCTTTTCCAAATAAACACTTTCACGTTAACTGAAAGCTATTTTTAAACCAGATAGTAAATTGAGGGATTTTCTAATCGTAAACAGCAGCCAGGCAGAGCCAGCAGTGGAGGAAGAGAAATGACTCAGTGCTTTCTTTTATTGGAAACACCATCAATTGTAAACTAGTAACCAAAACCTAAACCAAACCTGAGAGTGTGTAAACAGACACTCAGCACTAAGCGTTTTCACAGTCATTTTATCAGCATAAACATTTGGTTTTTGCAGCAACACGGAGCTGCAGGTGGCGGAGGGCCAGTGGTGATTAGTTTAACTGTGAGACAACAGTACCACCTGGTGGACATGAGCAGGACTGACATGCATCACAAGAGCAGATGAGAACGCCTGACTGTAAACTGACTCTGTTGATACAAACAGCTCCTTCTGTCCAAAATCAATGTTAACAACAAAACATCTGAAATGACCAGTAATGGGATAGTTCAGATCTTCTTAGTGGGGTTATACGAGGTACTTATCCACAGTCAGTGTATTACAGTAGATGGCAGTCGGCACGCCTCCAGTTTGGAGAAGCAGACAAGTTTAAGTTTAAGTTATAAAGCTATATTTAGAATATTTTCACTGCTTTTTCTCGCTGTCAGAGAGCAATGTCCAACAGGGAATTGAAACTTACCTAGTCTCTCTTCATGACCAGACTCCATTGAGAAAAACAATAATTTATCATCACAGAACACAGGAGCTGCTGGTCTACTGCTGCCTTGATTAGTTAGTTTGTTTGTGTTACTGTGTGACTTTGGCATCTTAAATGTTTAGTTCAGATTCACCAAAGTTACACAATAACACAAACAAACCAACAGATTGAGGCAGCGGTAGACCAGCAGCTCCTGTGTTCAACGAGCCTAAATCAGTGTTTTTGTCAATGGAGTCTGGTGGCTATGATGATAGCATATACGCCAGGAACGAGATCCATCCCCCAAGATGTTTCCTGCTACCTTTTTTTTCATTACTATTTCCTGTTGGCCTGTTTATACTTTGGGCCATCACAAGTTGATAATGAGCACCCCCAACTTGTTGCCGTGTTGTCTCAAGGGGCCTGAAACCCCATTTTTTGGGACATGTCTCTGGCAAAATAGTGCAAATGCAAATGCTATGATGGCATAAATAGTTATACAAGTATGAAATTTGGCAAGGAGTATCCTGACACAAAGAGAAAAGTAGCAAAATAAGACTCTGGGGGCTTGCTGCCGTTTTATTTAAAAATATCACACACAACATCCTAAAAACAACAACAAAGAAACAACTATCCATTTGACAAATTTTCATTAAAAATGATTATTTTTCATCACTTTACACAACAGTGTGTTTTGCCACTTACCTTCTTCATGATTTTTCTGTTTTATTAACTCTAATGACTTTTATTAGCTGTAATTTCTGTCTTTGTTTTTATTACCTCCACTTCTCTTTATTTGCATGCTTGTGATATTATTCAGTGACACTGCAATAAAAGCTAATTTCCCCACAGGGAGCTGTGGACTTGGGCTGTCTCTTAAAAACTGGGTCAAGAAGAGATAGAAGGTTTAAGAGCTGTAAAAAATAAAAGGTCTAACCTGCGTGGCTTGCGGATGTCCCATAATCCCACTCCCTCCTTGGAGTTGGCTGTGGCGATCAGCCTGGGCTCCACAGGGTTGAACATCACACTGTGGAAGGCGGAGGGGTAGCTGGCCAGGCAGAACGGCTCTGCAGGAAGAGATGAGATTTGAATTATAATAACATGATTAATAACATTTGTGTGAACTCATGTGGCAGGTTTTTAGGAGCTCTGACAATAACGGTTCACTCTGGTCTGGAGTGAAATATCTCAACATCTTGGCACAAAAACTTTTACTGACATCCATGGTGTCAAGTCAGTTTTTCCTACTGACTCTGGGGGTCCCCTGAGTTCTTATCTAGCACCACCACCATGTTCGCATCTGTTGTTTTGAGGGAAATATCTTGACAACTACCAAATGCACTGCCAAGGAATTTAATACAGACATTCATGAACCCCACAGGATGTACTGTATTTGTTAAATCACAAGTCTCCACCCCACCTGCATCAGACTGTCCCTGACTACACCACTCCCCCCAACATTATATAACTCCACCCTTCAGGCCTGTGACTCTCTTCTCCCTTCAAACCGTGCCAGGTTTGGACAGTTCTTAAGAAGAAAAAGAGTAATACCACAGTGGATGCATTAATGATGTGAGTTAAATCATAACCTAATTTACCAATATAATTATTATTATTGTTTAACACGATGCAGCGCAGTAACATTTTCTTTTAATACTCATTTTTATAGAAAAAAATAATCTGACAACCACCTTCAAAATGTTCACCCACCATGTCGACAATAAAGTGTTGAAACAGCTCCCTGGATCCTGTGTTTGAATGTGCTGCCCAACATCAGATGTTCTGAGAGCTAACATCAGCATAACTATTCAGTTTTTTTCAGTATGGTTGGCGACCCCTCCCCCGACCTTTCATCTAGCGCCATCATCTTATGACAAAACGTGAGATTTCCATCAGCTGTGCTTTTAGTGCTTGTTTATGGTAGCATTTAGCTCAGAGCATCACTGAGCCTAAATACCACCTAGTTTTGTTTATACTTTCTTCCGTAATAATGCCAATAAAAATGTTTTTTCGTGATGCAAAACAGATTTTTTTTTCTAGTCTAGAGACAATAAATTCATTCCTGTAAAAATAAAGTCTTAATTGATATTAGGGTGTCTTAAATCAATCTTTCAAAAGTCTTAAAAATACTCAAACATGGGAGTTAGGATTTTATGAATCTGTTTTTATATTGAAATGTAAAACCATAAAGCATTTCTTGTTTTAAGGCTTTCAAAGAAAAGATTATAAATATTTATTTGGATCCAACAGTGTCCAGACCATCATTATAACTACGAGCGCCACCGTGGCTCAGAGGTAGAGAGGGTCCTCCACTAATCTGAAGATCAGCACTTCCATCCCCAGCTCCTCCAGTCCGCATGTCTAAGTCTCCTTGATCAAGATACTGAACCCCAATTTGCTCCTGATGGCTGTTCCATCTGTGTATGAGTGTGTTAAAAGCTGTGTCGCAGGTATGCTAGCCTCAGCCCCCAGTGCGTGAATGTGTGTATAAATGGCTTTAAAAAGCGCTTTGAGTGGTTGGAAGACGAGAAAGTGCTGTACAAGTGCAGGTCCATTTACCAGATAAGCATTCTTGTACCTGATTATTTTTGCCTGGATGTGTGTGCACACTTGGTCCCTCTTCTGAACACGTGCTTTTTAAAAAACTATTTCACAAATCCCTGTCACGTTGATGTCGTTTCATTTTTTTCTTTAACTTTGTTTATTGAAAAACTGGTCTTAATTTTCATTCAGAGTGATATTAAAACGTCTTAAATCTAACTGACCTTAAGTTGTAGGAACCCTGGAAGTAATTTTTAATATTGGAAAAATTTCTACGTATATTTATCACAGTTTTATGTTTGATACGACCTAGTTATACTCCAGGAGAGGGCAGTCAACTCACCAGCCAGTCCCAAACACTCACATCAATCACCAATTTAATCCGAACATTCCCCAGCCCAGGTGTATTTACTTATTTTAATGTATCACACTCATGGCTACAGAGGGATTAACACTCAAACACCAGCCCTTAGAGAGACAGCTCGACTAACAAAGGAGTGCAGAAACATCTGTGACTAACTGTCATCCTTTCAAACTGTGAGTGCCGAAACAGACGGACATAAAAAGCCTGCTGGCACACACAGAGTACTGATTACTGCTAAATGTATTATTAGGCCAACTTGGTCACAAGGAGGGCTTCAAAAATAGAAGGATGTGGACGTCATGCAAGATGATCCACTGCATTTTTAAAGTTATCAACAAGTCTCACTAAGTCCCATCTAGAGCCACTATACACCCTATTTTCAGTCCAGCAGAGTCCCTTAAATACACTGAGAGACTGACTGTGAGGGGCTTTTATATTACTGTTATATAGAGACAACATCAGAGAAGACACATGCTTTACAGACAAGCTGCGTTTGTGTATTTTTATTACCACTAAGACCACTGTAGGGGTTAATTTACACACTGACCCACCAGACTGAGCACCAACTAACTTCTCATTTATCTTCCAGTGTAGGAGGTTTGAGAGGCTGAGGCCACACGATATTTGCTTTCTTCTACAACCACTTCTTAATCTATCTTAAGACTCGCACAACAGCAGTGTATATTTTCATCTTTAAAGGCCCTGAGTCACCAAGCCCACGGTCAGCCGTCAGTCAAAGTTCACCCACTGGTGAGCATTTGCCGCCCTCGTCGGTGTGGTGTGTCCCGCACCATTGCCCCTCGTTGGCAACCTGTTGGCTTTTTTTGGCCGATTCAACATGCTGAATAGCACACAGCAGGAGAAACAGAAGTGACTCCCTCTTGGCTTGAGACCAAAACAAACCTGTTACATAAGGTGAGCCTAGTTTTCTTCAGCCATTGAGCTCTTTTGGCAGAAACATTTTGTGATGGTGTGTTGTTGTTCACTGTAAATATGCGCTGTTCTTTCGAGATTGGATTGTGTTGTTAAAGTGCTAACAGGCTAACTAGCATAAAGATGGTCTTCTGTTTTCCCTTTTTGAGTGATGAATGCAGACTACCGCTGTCTGCTGGTACGTAGAGGTATCTCCTCCCATTTAAGCGCAGAACATACGTGCTGGCTGACTGTCGGCAGTTTCAGTTTGGTGTTTCTGGGCTTTAAGGTTGACAGACTGGAGAGACTGATCAGTTCATTAGCCATAAAGTGGCAAGGTCTCCCCAGCAGGTGCATTACCAACATAAGGCTTATCAGAAAGGGCCCTCTAGAGCTCCTTGTGTCCAGTCTGGTAGAGGAGTACAAGCGCTCAAAGTAAGGTTGGAAATGACACTGATGGAAACCTGTGACCATGTGTAGCCCAAACAGCTCCTACACTCACTAATAGAAGGAAGCTGACCCCATCTGCAGCTACGCAACAGGCAAAGTCAGCCTAATTATAATGGTTATAATCAGTTATTTCTCTATGAGCTCTTTGTGACACCAAAGAACATAAATACGAACACTTTAGAAGCATTAAAGTGCTGCTGCATGAACATGTGTTAGTGACCAGAATTTGATTTCCCCACATATGTCCTGATGATGCAGGATGACAAACCCCAAAACTGTCCAATCAATGAGTTACCTGTCGTCAGTAGACCTTCATGTTAACTGCTCTTGGTTTGTTTGCAAAGAGTCAGTGTGAACAGGAACCAGAACGAAAACTAAAATACAATAATGAATAATTTTTTCCCTCAGGTGCGACCAAATGAACCGAACTACAGGTGAGAAAGCACCCTTACTTTTCTATCTATACTCTTTCTTACTTTTCTGTCTATCTAATCTTAACCCAGCATCTTCCACTCGGAAAGCCCCAGACGACACCATCACTCCCACTCACAGTCTCACCTATGTGCAACAACAAGGTATTGTACCATCTTGTCCTAAACTGAACTTCAGACCATAAGATATCATGTCGTAGGTGTCTGTGTGAGTTATCTGTTTTTTTATCTGTGTTTTTTGTCTTGGATTCTCATTTTTATTTGCATGTGGGAGACTTGAACCTAGGAAAGGTTCCTTGGACCTTGGGAAGGAATGTTGGAGAACCTGAGAACAAGAATTTCACAGCCAACGCCACTGTAATTGTTGTGCATGACAAATGAAGACTTGAAACACCAGGTATTGCTATATAAAATGATTATTATTATGACCAATGAGCTTGACAGGAACATACATTCCTCCTCCTCCTCCTCCTCCACTCACCTGCACTTGGCGGCTCGCGGGTGTCCCAGATAAGAACGCGCCCATCATCAGACGAGCTGGCGAACACGTTGTCATTGACCGGGCTGACAGACAAACTGTACACGGCATCGATGTGCAGGAACACGTTCAGAGTTTCCCGTCTGTTGGGACCGCAATCACCCAAATGTTAATTGTTTTGTTTGCGTAAATGCAAACTCAAGGGACAACAAAGCTTTTTATGATTGCTTTAAGTGTCTGAAGTGTAATTTAACCCACCTCTCCACATCATGAAGAATCACTTGCTCATCATTTCCTGCAGAACGACAAACGGACAACGTGTGGATCACACAGTGAAGGAATGCAGGTGCACAGGATGAGCGCTCTGCTGTAATATTTAACCTCAATGTTCAGATGCAAAACCTGCTTTGCCTTCAGGGTTTTTTAACAGCCATTGAGCTCTGTCATCTAAATCTTTACATACCATTATCAATATTCTTTCCTCTTGACTTAATTTGCATAGCGGTTTGAGAACAGTCAGTGAACAGAATTCACCACGTGAGTGAATGAATGACTTTATTTTGAGCAAAACATAAAATAAAAACTAAACAAACCAAGCATTAACAGACATGCTCAAAAAATGAGCAGGAAGAACTGAAAAAAAAAAAAAGTAACTACAATATTTCTGTGACCACTTAAATGCACATAAAAGTATCCATCAAATATTTTATCTAATAGAGTCTCTGCTCTCTGATGAAAACTAAAATTGTATCTCCGAGTGCATCAAAGCTTTCAGTTTAATCAGATCTACCTTCCACCTACAGGCCCCCAAGGACAAGCTACACAAACACCTACACAGGTCAAAGGTCAAGGATAAGGAATGAGCCTTTGCTGTTGTGACAGAGCACAGATCAGATGTATTTCTCGCTCTTACCGCCAGAGAAGACCTTCTTGTTGGTGCTGTCAAAGGCCAGGCAGAAGATGTTGGACAGGTGCTCGCCCTTCAGCTTCACAGGCTTGGAGCGAGCGTGGATGGCTTGTTCCATGTGCCACAGCAGCACCCGGCGGTCGTCTCCTCCTGCAACACATGATTTATTAGATGGATTGACAACACCAACACCACAGTGTTGTCTGGAGCAGTGGTTTCCAAACTTTTTGACTTACCTACAACCCCCTGTCAAAGGATGCATATGTCTAAGGTGTAAGCAGTTCAACCAAAGACCAATGTTTCATTAACAGATTGGTTAATTTCAATCAATTCTTAGAGAAGTGATTAGTTCAAATGTTCCAGTAATTCACAACAGAAGGAAAAGATTTAGAGCTATGATGGTCGATCACTCTTTGGACAGACAGAAAAGTAATTCAGCAACTATTTTGATCTATATAAAGTCCTTTTAAAATAAACTCCACCCATTCTCTGGTTCCAGCTTCTACAGTTTGCTGGTTGTCTTTATTTAATATCAGTATAAACCAGAGGTGTGGACACAAGTCACACAGCTTGGACTTGAATCAGACTCAGTTAACAAATTTAATGACTTTAGACATGATTTGACAACATCAAAAAAGACTTGTAGCTTGACTTGGACTTTAATTTGGACTTGAGCCTTTTGACTCAGAATGCTTGACACCTTCCCAAAGCCCAAAGATTATAAAGTATGTTATTTAAAAAAAGCCGCGAATCAATTCATTCACCTTTATTTTCTAAATCAACTTATGTTGATGTTCTTTTTTTTATTTCATTTAGATATAAACAACAACAACAACAACAACAACATGCAAGATCACTTTAAAGGAAAAACACTCTTACAGAAAATGTCTCACAAATTTGGGAAGAAAACGCAATTTTTCCAACATTAAATATGATAAACACAACAAGCTAGGACATTTACCAGCTGCATGCTGTGAATGTGAATGTCAGCACTACTTGTTTTTGGTAATTATGGTCAGCTGCACTTAAACGAATAAGTGCAAATCTTAAAAAGCATTCATGAGTTTTTGTAAATTTAATATATTACTACTCTGTTGTTAAAATGGCATTACAGATGGTGAAGTGCACGTTATGACATGTTTAGGACTCAAAACTCAAAGTTCAGGACTTGGGACTTGACTCAGGACTTGTATGTTAAAACTTGAGACTTAGATGTGGCTTGCAAATCAAAGACTTGGTCCCACCTCAGATATAAACCCCTGATGAGAAGTAATTATGTACATAAATTCAAGTACTGTGCTTAAATACAATTTTGAGGTACTTGTACTTTACTGGATTAATTCTATTTTAAAGCTTCTACTCTACAACACTCTGGAAGCAAAGATTGCACTTTTTACACCACTATATTTATTTGATAATTTTAGTTGCTAGGTGCAGATTTATATAAATAATACAAAATATAAACAACAAATAAATCATGTTATGTATTGTTATAAGGAGAGATTTTCACAAGCAAGTAATTAAAATTAGTTCTACCGTCAACACTTTTATTTTTTGGTATTTGTTATTTTGATGCCTGTACTTTTATATTTTTGCTTAAGTAACATTTTGAATGCATGGCTTTATTTTTTTAAGATTATTATTTATTTATTTAGTATAGATATTTTTATTTAGTATAGTATGTCATTCTATAGTATTGTTTTATAGTATATTATTTGTATATTATTTTCATATATTATTTTACTTTTTAAGATTATTCTTTTATGATTATTTTCTTATTTCAGCCTTTAATGACATGACAGTCAGAGGCGTGAGGGGAAAGAGAGAGAGAGGATGACATACAGCAAAGGGCAATGTGCTGGAATCAAACCATCAGCTGCCGCAGACAGGACACTGCCTTTGTACATGGGGCACCTACCCTACCCTACCCACTGAGCTAGTGCACGCCCTGAATGCATGAATTTAACTTGTAACAGAGTGTTTCTAAATTGGGATATTGCTGCTGTTACGTATGGAAAATCTTCTTCCACCAGTGAAATAAACAGGACATCTCTGTGTCTGGGACTATTGGTTAGAGGAAACAAGGCATTTAAAGACCTGTGATGGACATACTTTTATTGAATAGATAATAATAATGATATTACGTTTACCTACTTTGCACTTCAAAGCAGAGGTTACAAAGACTATCACAAAACAATAAAAGCAGATAAGAGAATAATGTAACTTCAAACATAAAATACCAATGACAATAATTAATTATTTATCAATTATCCTTTAATCTACTATAATTAGTTGGAGCCCTGCACCACATAATCTGCAATTAAACTCTTTTGCAGATGACATTCAATACACAACAGCAAAATTGAGCCACACATGTTTGAGGCATTTATTGCAAAATCTAGATCAGGAGGTCATTATCATGTCTGCCATGGTTAATTATCATACTTAACGGTCCAGGAGGAGAATATATCTGTCAAAGTGTCAGAGCTAATGAGGTGCATCTAAACAATTTAACCTACCTGGTCAGGTGGAGTCATGCTAACATACTGAAAATGAAAAGTTAAGTGCAGCTCTATTGTGCAAAGTAAAATGGCAAGCCTCAGGTTGTTACACTAGGCCAGATGATGCTTTTTAATCCTCCATGGACATAAATAGCTGTGTGTCTCCAGGAGTTAGCCATGTTTAGACCCACCAGGGAAGCATAATGTGCACTTGAGCGGCCACATAGTGATGAAGTGACGGGCTGACATATGGGAACAGGTCCCGGGCTGCTGCCCTCTGAGCTGCTGCCTCTTTGCTTTTGACGTTAGCTAGCTAGCTAGCGAGAGCGGCTAGGCTAGGTTAGCATCGGCTAGCCCAGAGGGGATTCAGCTGACTGCCTGGCTAGTTAGCGTTAGCATGCTAACACATTAAAACAGTCTGAGCCAGGGGGAGAGGGGATTTGTCAACTTACCAGACACGAGCCATTCCCCTCCGTTGTTGGAGAACTCAATGGCGTTGACACAGCCGAAGTGTCCGAGCATATCCTTCTTGTAGAGGCTGGTGCAGCCGGCCAGTCTGCGTCTCTGGAATTCCTCCTTCATGAGCGGCTGCCCAGTCAGCTCTCTGCGGGACAGAAAGCCCACTGAGGAGCGCATACCGCAGCCCTTCAGCTCCTTCATTGTCACCGTGCAAAAATACGGCTCCGCTTTTGTTTTCACCACCACTGCACCCTCGACATGCAGTCGTGTTGTTGGGTATGGCACACGGCTGTTGCTGCTCTGTTTGGTCTACATTATGGTGGAAGCCCCGCTGATGTCGACGTTGTTTTGTACCTCCTCTGTCTTCTCGGCAGTCCCAGCAGCAGCTTCCTGCTCCGGTGGTGGAGGATCTCTCTCTCCCCCTGTCTGTCACTCAGCATCACCAGCCAGCCAGCCAGGACTCCACTCTGTATTAACACCACCTCACCATGTTTCACTGAACCCAGGCCAAGGAGTTTCTAACACAGGTCTGAAGTGTAAAAATAACCTAAAGTCACCACCATTCACATCTGTAGGTTTCAGCTAGCCAACCTAAACATGTGGCTTAAAAGTGGCAGTGGTGGAATGTAACTAAGTACATTTACTCAAGTATATAAGTAGGCTACAAAACTACAAAATACAAAAATTGAACCTCCTGAGACCCTCCGTACTCATATGTGGACATCACATTTTGGGTTTACTGGGCCTTACACTTCATTCTACTGAACTTAGATCTACTGTCCTCATCTGTGGACATGTTTTTGTGCCATCTAGTGGCAGTAAGAGCACAATACACTAATCATGTAAAAACAAGATGGCAGCCATCTCTGCTAAGTCAGTCTGCAGCCGATCCCAACACAAAAGTGGACAGAACTTGGTCAAATTTAACAGTCGAAACTTGTTTATTTATGATTAATAATGTTTGTAGTTTGATATGGAAACAAATTTGACCAATTTTAGCAACAGCAACAAGCTACTGTAATTAGTAAGTACTCGTTTGAGGACACTGGGACTTGATTACTGTTGACAGTGTTTAGTTTTTTTTATACTTATTGGGTCCTACTGATCACAAGTAGCTAGGAGAAATAAAAAATGTCTACCAAACGAAGGTTAGGGTCTCAGGAGGTTAATACATAACCAACACCATGTTTCACTGAACCCAGGCCAAGGAGTTTCTAACACAGGTCTTAAGTGAAAAATGACCTAAATTCACCACAATTCACACCTTTAGGTTTCAGGTCGCCAACCTAAATGGTGTGGTTTGACCTCCTGAGACCTGAACTTTTGTTTGGTATGCATCCTTAATTCCTCCTAGCTATCTGGGATCAGTAGGACCCGATAAGTATAAGAAAACCAAACATTGTCAACGATAATTAAGTCCCAGTGTCCTAATTAACAGCGTCTTAGCTTGTTACTGTTGCTAGAATTGGTCAAATTTATTGCCATATCAAACTACAAACATTATTTAACTTAAATAAACAACTTTCAACCCATAAAATATGATCAGGTTCTCCACTTTTGTGTCGGTCTCAGGAGGATGTAGGCAGTCCTGTAGAGAACTCAGCATGCTGAGATCTGATTCAAATCAAAGTAAAAGGTGTGACAACATACTGCGTTCTCCCCTACAAGTAGCCTACCTTGACCTTCTGTGACCCTGCATACTCATATGAGGACATCACATTTTGGGTTTACTTGACCTTATACTTCATTCTCCTTAACTTAGATCTGTTGTCCTTGTCCATGGACACTTTTGTGCCATCTAGTGGCAGTAAGAGCACAATACATGGGAACAGTAGCGACAGTAACAAGCTAAGACACTGTTAATTAAGAGGGACTCATCTGAGGACATTGGGAACTTATTTTCATCTGGTTTAGTTGTATTTACTTTAGTTTTTGTACCTATCAGGTCTTACTGATCCCAAATAGCCATGAAAAATTAAAAATGCTTATCAAATACAAGTTGGGGGATCAGGATGATATGATATTAAAAACTAGATGTTGATAAATTTTCTTCAGCTCAGTTCTGATAAAACAGAAATCCTTGTCACTGGGTCACAACATATCACCCAAACAAATACTGCCATCTACTGGTTGGGGTGAATTAAGGGTGACTGGGACATAAGGTCAAATGGGACAGTGTAACTTTACTGGCTTTACTTTCTCGCCTTACAAGTGAAGAAAAAACTTTTTCTGAGCAATAGCTGTGAATCCATATGATCAAAATTGCATGCTATCAATGGTGTGATGTCATGGAGGTGGGTGGGGCAGGAAGTTGACCTTACAATGCATAAGGTGAGTGGAGCTTATAGGACTTGTTACAATCCCTCAGAGTAATCAGCACTTGCCTGGTGTCTTGTGTCTTGAGTGGAAGAGGGGTAATTACTCCATCAGGGTCACCAGGTAGGCACCTTCCTTCATTGGTGATAAGACCACGACACCTCCAGAGGGCTCAATGGCGACACCTGGTGTGCCCCCCTCTGCTTTTACCCCTCATGTTGGACATCTTGCAGACCAGTTGGGGTCCTTCCTCTTCATCCAGAGCCAAATGATAGTGACTTGCCTCTGATGGAAGGGCGGTCCTTGAACCTCCATGCTCTTCAGAAGCCTGGTTGATGATGTGGCTACGAATCCTCTATGCCAGCGACGTAGTTCTGCCTCAGCTGCTAGATCTGTGTACTTGAGGCTTTTGCATTCGTAAGCTTCCCCAACAGCAGCCTCCCATGGTACTGTTAGTTCCACGATGTACAAGAACTTCTGTGAGGTTGACCACAAGATCAGGTCTGGCCCAAGATTAGTTGTAACAGTCTCTGGTGGTAAAATCATTGGGGGTTGGCTGCGATTGGTGAGACGTCACCCGACCCATTTGAGAGCATGCGGCCCGGCTTCTGGGCCTACCCCAGAGAAGGCGAAGCTCAGCATGGCACAGCATGTCTTAACAGATAATGAAAACTCAAATCAGCGTGGCATGGCTTGACTTGATGCAGCCAAAAATGACAGTTGAAAAGGCCCACAAGAAACACCAATGCTGTTGTTAAAGATCATGAAATATGATCGACAGCTAATGACCTTTTGGTAAGATTGTTTTCTCTTTAAACCTCGGGGAAAATTGTTTCTCTGACATCACTTATTTATTGGTTATGTTGCCTTCACTGACTGGAGTTAATATGGGCTGGCTGATTTACCTTTATATTCACATGTAGGAAACAGATCAATAAAAGACACATGGAAAGAAAATTACATTTTAGTGTGTATAGTAGTTTTATTACTCCAAGTTTTGGGATTACAGTGGTAGTCTTTAGGGAACTTTCAGTTTCAACAAGCCTTTCTCTGAGACAACATGGAAAAACCAAAACATCTAAAACATTTTCTGCACAGAGAAACAAATGTCTGCTCAACATGAATGGGCCGCAGTGTTCTTCTAATTGATTCAAACCCATGTCTGAGAGCCAACTGTGATTTCCCCTCCCTCCAGTGAACATTATACTGCAAAATCAATGCACTGTATCGAGATATTTTGTTGTTGTCCGACCTGAATCAGCACCATGTTAGCGAGGGACAAATTATCTGTGTTGATTTGTCAAAATTAAGCAATTTAGGCACTTATCAAGAAATTGGCAAAGGTTATGATGAAACTGCTACTGCTAAGCAAAATACTTTAACAGTCAACGAAAGATTGAGCAAAATCTACTGACAGAACTTTTTTTTTTTAAATGTTAACATCACATACACATCGTAAGCTAACTTTACAGAATATCAAACTAAAATCTAAAGAGTCCAAGGAGGCCTCACACTGAGCATAAAGTGATATCACACACAGCAGCACTGAGAAGACACAGACACTTGGTTTGCTTTGCATATAAACTATGCCACGTCCCCACCGCTGCTTGTGCTGTTGTTCTGCTCAGAATATAACGGCAGACACAGAGTCTGTCTATGTGCATCTGTGAACCACGGTCGGTCGGTCGTACCTGCAGGTTCCTGGGTAGGTTTCAACACACTAATCTATAATGGACAAACATTTAAAAGTGCTTTACATTAAGGTACCTTCAATACATTCACCTCTACGTTATGAAGTCTTCTATAATACCACACAGGTAATGAGTGAGCTGCAGTTGATGAGTATTCCTTTGGCAAAAGTAACATTTGCTTTCAGCAAAATACGTGGAGTGTGTCAGAGGAGTGTGGGGCTCGAGGACGAAGAGTTCTTTTGAAATAAACACTGTAGAGGGAAAAATTAATTGCTTAATACAGAGGAACCACTCTGTAAAATGTCTTTCACTTTATAAAACAAGCTTAAAGGAATACGGTGACATTTTGGGAAATAAACATAGCCTGTTTGCTTTCCTGCCAAGAGTTACAGTGCGTTCCTTTTATCGTGAACATCAGAGGTCGGAGCTGGGAATGATCCGAGGTGACTACATTCCAGTGCAACAAGTCACAAAACCAAGATGTTGTTAGCCGGGTTAGCCATTGTTAGCAGTTGATAACAACACATTACACTGTATTTAGCGCCTATAAACACCATAGCAGCATGTCCACACATAGAGGTTGGACAGGACTGTGTGTATGACTCTTTTAATTAGACACAAACAACAAAGAAGTGTTAATAAAAAGTATATTGCTACAGCTCTCACTACTGTTGATGTGCAGAGCAGCCATGTTGGATTTTGAGCTTCGGGGTTGTTGACTTTCTGAGTTCAAAATCCAACTTCAGCCAGCTTTCCAGATGAAATTTTTCCGCTGGGAACTCTTAAATTCCAGCTTACCAGTTCAAATGCAATGCACCAAAAGATCTGAACATCATTCATAGCTCTGATCTGAGGCTACAGCTAGCAGCTGATTAGTGTAGCTTAGCACAAAGACTGGAAACATGGGCGTAAACAGCTAGCCTGGCTCAGTTTTTTGTACAAATTAAACAAAAGAGATATAATGTGTTAGTTAGTGATGCTGGTAGGTGGATTTTGTTACTTTTGATCAGAGCCAGGCTAGCTGTTTGCAGTTAGCTTAGCTTAGTACCAAGACTGGAAATGGGGAAACAGCTAGCATAGCTCTGTCCAAAGAGAAAAAAATAAACATTTTATCTCTATTTTCTGAAATCTTTACAAAAACTAGACGATATAAAATGACATGTTGTGGATTTTCAGGGAGGAATGTGTCCAACTATTTCCTCTAATTCCCCTCTGTTGTTTTTACACACTGGTTTTTGTACTTGTTTAACAAACCAGATAGCCTAATGCATGTTAGTAAATGAGCTTGACAGATACTGGTAAGTGGATTTTCGTGCCTTTGGACTGAGCCAGGCTAGCTGTTTCCCCCTTATTCCAGTCTTTATGCTAAGCTACTCAAATCAGCTGCTAGCTCTAGCCACATATTGCTGCAGGAATGAGTCTTAAAATGAAGAAATTAGTTAGCATTTTGGCACTTCTGGTTCCCTTGTCTCAAAGTCAATGGATGTTTTGGTTAGATTTGGTTAGATCGTACTGAAACTGTTTTACAGCCTCGTTGTGGTGGTGTTGTTGAAGTCATGCAATCGTGGTGTAGCTCGTTTGTAGCCTAACGTTAGCTTTTTAATTCTTGCAAATAAATAAAAATCATAAAAGTGGTGTTCGTTTGTGAAGATTATCTTGCTGAACAAAACATGTACAAATCATAAACTTTTGTTTGCAACAGGGCTTATTTCCTGGATTGGAAAAATCCCATTGGCATTTTGTTGCATGAACCAGGGCGAAGCTAACTTCAGTGTAGGCCTACAAATAAACACCATCCCTGCAGATCTCTATTTACTTTGCAGACATTAGGCTATCCATCGTCTCATCAAACTCTCAAAAAGAAAGCAAATTTCCCAAAATGTCATCCTATTCCTTTCAGTCTGTTCTACCATCTACAAAGTGGTTCGTTTTGTGCTATTCATAATTTTCTCATATGTCTCACTTCAGAGCAAAACTCTTCAAACCTGAAGCCAATTTACCAGAAGGAGAAAGTAACTTTAAGGAAGGTTACATAGAGTGAAAACCACGACTAAGAGCAGTGTGTAATCGTCTGTCAGTGCCAGGTTATTATTCAGAATCCATCCACACAGTATTCAGTCTATTGCACGTGAGACTTCTTCATTGAGTGCAGAGAGCCGAAGCTCTGGGGCCGTTTACTTCTTCCTCTCCAGGGTTACGACGATGAATCGACAACAGTCTCTGAAGCTGAGAATTCCAAATTTCTTTGTCACGGTTAGAAAATAAGATGAACTTCTTTCACTTTATTACAAGGCAGCTGCTCTTGTTTTGTTTTTTTTATATATTCTTGATTAAATGTGCCGGCCAAGTGATTAAAACCGGCGTCACCAAATTTAAAAAAAAAAAAAAAAAAGATGGCAGAGGGTGAAACCTGGACACTGGTACAGTATGTTAAAGATTAGAATTAATGTCTAATTATTATTTGTATTTTTTCTCAAAAGTCTATAAAACATCAGCAGGATTCTTCTCTTTTAAAAAGCCGAGTAAAGAAATATTCCGCCGGCAGCTTTGCCTCGAGACATTTTCACATAAATAGAAAATTAAAAAAGAACACGCAAAAGATTAAATAACGAGACAAATGCAACAGGAGCTTAAATTAAGACAGCAGAATAGAAGAAGTGTGCAGAGGGGAAAGTGGGGAGGAGGGGGTTAAAAGCTGTTGGCACAGGGGAAAGGGACGATGGGGGGAGCTGTCCTCAGTGTTTCAGTCTCTCAGGTGCTGCTAGTAAGGGCCTTTTGTGTGTCCAAAGATCCCGATGGGGAAGTGTTTGACGTGTGAGGACCACTGTGCCGCCAGCTGGAAAAACTTGACGTCGTTCCACTCAACGCCATCGATCAGTACTGCAGAGGAGGCAAAACACACGTTATTATACTGTATACTTACACTTTTATTGGAGTTAATGTTGAATAAACCTGTGTCCCACCTGCATATTATATACAACTGCTAAATGTATTTTCATTACGGTGGCATGATTAATATGTTAATTGTTTTTTTAATTAAGGATTTTTTATTAAATGTCAGAAAGTGGTTAAAAAAGCCAACAAGTGACAATCACAAAACCCAAAGATATTTATTATACAAAACAAAGTAAACCTCAAATGAAAGAAGGTGAAACCAGAGAATGCTCCCTGTGACAGTGGAATGCAAAACTTTGGGCAAAATGTCAAAATGTCTTTTCCTTTGAATAGTTAAGTAAGTAGATGCATGAAGTTAAAATTTCAACATTCCTTCAACATTTTAACCAAGATAAGTGTATAACTTTTGTTTTGTACAAGTTTAGAGTGAAAAAAATAAAAGGATCACCATGCAAATGTGTGGGCACCCCAGACATTTGAGCTTTCAGACAACTTTTACCAGGGCTCTGGCTTGTTCACAATCATCGTTAGGAAAGGCCAGAAATTCCTGGACCAACATTGCAATCAATGATTCGCAAATTAAAATTAATACAATTGAATAAATAATTCTCAGTAACATCGAACAAAAACCTTGTAAGCTACAGCAGGGTTAGCAAGTTAGCTTGCTTACAAGATTGGCTATGCTAATGAGTAAACTTGCCAATACACGAGAATGTTAGCTCGCCAACTAGGTAAGCTATGCTAACATGTAGGCTTGCCAATAGGCCTGAATGTTGTTCATTGACAAAGTGTAAGGATAAAAGCATTTTTTGGTTGCAAAAAACACATTTCCCTCCTTTTTTTCCACGTTGATCCTGGAAAGATTTAGTCAGGTTTATCCAGGACAATCCTCATCATCATCACGCTGATTCTGGATAATTTGTTTATGTCGACATCAACATAGAAGCAATTGTCCTGGATCAACATCAGCTTGTTCACAATCATCATTAGGAAAGGTCAGGTGATGCAAATTTCAAAGCTTTATAAATACTCTGACTCCTGAAACCTTGTCCCAACAATCAGCCACCATGGGCTCATCTAAACTGCTGCCTAGCACTCTGAAAACTAAAATAACTGATGCCCACAAAGCAGGAGAAGACTATAAGGAGGTAGCAAAGTGTTTTCAGGTAGCTGTTTCCTCAGTTCATACTGTCATTAGGAAATGGCAGTTAACAGGAACTGTGGAGGTCAAGTTGAGGTCTGGAAGATCAAGAAAATCAAAACCCCCATTTGACTGCAAAAGACCTGCAGAAAGGAATATCAGAATCTGAAGTGGTGGTGCACTGTTCTACTGTGCAGCCACACCTGTACAAATATGACCTCCATGGAAGAGTCATCAAAAGAAAACCTTTCCTGTGTCCTCACCACAAAATTCAGCATCAGAAGTTTGTAAAGGAACATCTGAACAAGCCTGATGCTTTTTGGAGAGTCCTGTGGACTGATGAAGTTAATATAGAACTTTCTGGATGAAATAAGCAAAGGTATGTTTGTGCAAAATTTAATGAAAAGAACACCTGTCCAACTGTTAAACACGGGTTTGTATCGATCATGCTTTGGGCTTGAGCTGCAGCCAGTGGCACTGGTCGCACTTCACAGGTAGAGGGGAAGAATGGATTCAGTTACCTTCCAGTGAATTCTGGAGTCAAACATCACACCGGAGTTTTTAAACTAAAATGGCGTCAGCAAAGTTTTCAAAGGTTTCCGTTTAAGAGGTTCCAAAACGGCAGAGTATTGTGGACTCTTGGCGTTACCATAGCAATAGTTTTACATTTTAGAACAAAAAAATATTTGTGTGGATGTAGTCTAAGTTCTGCTGATTTTTGAGCGTGGTATACAATAAAATGTAGATACAGATGGTATTAAAATAAGATATATAATATAGAAAAATAATAGAATCTTTTGAAAAAAAAACTGCCTTTAATTATAATGTGTCTGTGTTCATTTTTTTATTTTAAGATATATCTCTAAAGATTTATCAAAATAAGACGTCACATTTGAGTTAAAATTATTGTATTATTGCATTATTGCATTATTATTATTGAATTACAACATCTACACTGGGCTGATTAGCAGCATCAAAACATGTCATCATTTTTCCATTTGTCAAAGTCTGACCAGGTGAGGGGGATTATTTTTAGAAGTATTTTTACTGTGTCTCTGACAAACGATGAGGTAAGCTGCAGACCAAGCTGAAGAGAAAAACATGTGAGATCCCTCTGAGGATGTCTGTGCTGCAGAGGGGAGGAGGACATGTCAGAGCAGGGCGGGAGGTCCGTGTGGAGACGTACCTCTCAGCATGGTCTGCTGGTGCTTGGCAGTGCAGATGAGCCGGCTGATGCCCTCGATGACTTGACTCTTCGGCTCCACCTCCTTGTCTTTGCTCTTTTTTGGCAGGAACATGACTGGCAGAAGGGAACAACAGAGACGCACGCTGCGAGTAAATGAGGGATTCAGAATCTCTCTGGCCTCTGAGGATTAAAGTCGGATGGTATTTGGCCTTTTGGTGCAACGTTTGACATCAGATTGTCACAGATCAGTCCTGTGGATATCCTACTATATGATTCTTCTACAGATTTCCCTCTGAACATTATTGTGACTTGGTGACTATGTCCTGTTTATGGAGACTGTGAAGCTTAGCTTACCCTTCTTATTCTTCTCCTTGGTCACCACAGTCATGGACATGGTGGGCTGGGGGCTCGGCTCTGCGCCCCCCAGTGGCAGCCGGCTGACCTGCAGCGAGCGGAAATTGCACTTCAGAGTGTTTTTGGAGGAGGAGTCCCGCTTCTCCACGTCTTTCTTCCTTTCTGTCGGAGCCACCCAGTAGTCCACCTGAAGCCCCATCAGCTCCGCCTGCCCTACAGAACTACAGACAACAGGTGGATGTCAGGGGGAATACCTTTACAGATTGAAATAACTCACACAGATGAGTTCAAGATGCTGAAAATATGAGAAGTAAATATTTTCACATCAGACATGTGGACTTTAAACTCAGAAAAGTTTTGACAGACAGAAATTAAAAGACAGATAAATGAAATCAGACAAAATGTTTGAGACAATAAGGACATCAAAAATGAATGACTTTGAGGCCTGCTACTTTTTAAGTATCTGCAAACATCCTGAAGTCACATCGTTTTGCTCCATTTGCACTGCATCATACCTGTAAGCACAGAAGCTGGCGGTTACAGACGGAGAGGAGGGTGGGGTGGGCGACGCCTCTTTGAGTGCAGGTGATACTTGTGGAGGAGTGGAGGAGAGCAGCGAGGAGCTCAGAGGCGCTGCGTCATCAGAGTCTCCTGAGGAAGGAAACAATCATTAATCAATTGTTAATACATTTTCTTTAGGAAGACTGAAAGGTATGTTAGCAAAGGCTATTTCACTTGTCTTTGTGAAATCATTTTTGTACAGTATGGGAGAGTTTATGATAAGGATGGCTCATCCAGACATTATTTCAGGCCCGCCCAAAAAATTCTGGACACAGTGATTCAGTCTAATTCCACAATTCAGTACTACACAGTTCAGAGTCAGGCTTGGAAGCTATGTCTCTGGGATGGTCAGGAGCACCACTGGTGCTCCACAGGGAACTGTTTTAGCACCTTTCCTGTTTACACTCTACACAGCAGATTTTAAGTACAACTCAGCATCCTGCCACATAGAAAAATACTCTGATGATACAGCTATTGTGGCTTGTATCAGGAGCGTTGAGGAACGGGAGTACAGGGACCTTGTGGATGCCTTCAGGGGCTGGTGCAGTGAGTGCTGTCTCCACCTGAACACAGCCAAAACCACAGAGATGGTGGTGGATTTCAGAAGCAAGAGGTCACCCCATCCACCAGTGTCCATACAGGGGGAGGACATTGAGGTGGTGCACTCCTCCTGGATGATAAACTGGACTGGTCTTCTAACACTGACACCCTCTACAGGAAGGGGCAGAGCCGCCTGTTCTTCCTGCGGACGCTGAGGTCCTTTGATGTGTGTGTGTGGAGATGTTGACCATGTTCTATCACACAGTGGTGGCCAGTGCACTCTTCTACGCTGCAGTGTGCAGGGGAGGCAGCTTGACGGACAAAGACATCAAGCGTTTGGACAAGCTGGTTCAAAAAGCTGGCTCAGTGCTTGGCAGGAGACTGGACCCAATAAGAACTGTGATGGAGAGAGGCACATTGAACAAACTGACGGACACTGTCTCCACAGCCTCCTGGGGCGACAGAGGAGCAGCTGCAGCAGTCGGCTCATCTCACTGTGTTGAGAACAGAGCGTTTGAAGAGATCCTTCGTCCCCAAGTTCTTTCTGTCTGTCTATCTGTCCATCTTCATATGTTTTCAACAAGTATTTTATAACATGTAAAATGTGTTTAGAAGGAATTCACTGATTTAGCTTCACTCGGACTTTAAATCTAAAACAGCCTTCTACAAACTTATTCCTTGCCTGACGCGGCAGATGTTTGCTCCACGAGGCCAACTTTCACCATCTGCAGAATTCCAAAACAAAGGGGAGAGGATTATTATCTGTCTCAGTGTCACACATGAGCTAAAACATCAGCACATGGTAAATGCTTGTGGCGAATCAGGGAAACATAGAGGTCACTTACCCCGATGAAAGGGATGAATTTCTGACATGAGTCCTCATCAGGGCTGTGGAAAGGCAACAGAGGCCGAGAGAGAGTTCAGGTGAAAAGGAGGCAAGAAAATAATCAACAGAAGAAGAAATTATGCACAGATGAGAAATCAAACTGAATCAAAAGGGACTGACTCCTACAAGCATTTCAAATGCTTGGCTACCATCATACAAAATATTCAACTACAGTTAGTAACACTGAGATCTAGTAATTAGTAACTTTTATTTTTCAATGATTTCCAATGTGTCACATCTGGAAATATTGTCATCAGAACCCAAACAGAATGGACAGAGCATGCTGCTGCTGGGCTTTAAACCTCCCCCAACACAGATTCACTCCCGACTGCAGGCCCCTTATTGTAGCTGGAGAAGCAGCTGGCGAAACATGCAAGCTATTTGAGGCCTCCGACAGAGAAAGCCATCCAGTTATTGCAGACACAGACTGAATCTACCAAACCAAAGTCAGAAGGGCATTCAGGGGGAAAGCAAGTCCATCGGGGGAACAACTAAACTACTGAGTCATTAAGAAGTGGATGAGAAGGAAGAGCACCAACCTAAATCCACAACTTCTCCGGTTCCATGCACTACCTGTCAGCGGTAGTGCATAACTACACTTACAAGCCTCCCACGAACTATTTTCCTGGCAACGACCAGAAAAATAGCCTGAATGGTTCTACTTCTATTTTTTTTTTTTTTCTAAATGCAAAGACGTTTGATGATGTGAAAGGTTGTTGCTCTTGCCTTGAAGAAACCTGCCATCGCCCCCCCAGGGAAGAAACAGAGAGACTACAGAGGAGGGGAGAGAGAGAGAAGACAGTCTACAGTAGGTCACAGTTTGCACATCAAGGCCACGATTTGTTTTTGTTCCCAACACAACACATCTCTGCTGTAATCAGTTTCAGAGCAGCCAGAGAGGGAGAGCCAGATGTCTGCCTGGTATGTGAGTGATTAATGTTCATCTGGCATCTTGCAGCGATGGATTATGACAGAACACATGACCTCTGTCTGATCCATTTTTTAGGTTAAATGTGTGATGTCATCAGTATAGAGATGCACATGCACGTCGATCCATGTAGATGGACGTAAAACTGTGGACATAACACATGCACTTTACAGATACAGGTCAAATACAGTTCTGCATCTCAGTCAAAACTAGTTTCTAGTTGGGAATAAGTGGTATTAGTATCTTGTTAATGTTTGTGCTGTTGCATATTACAGAATGTAAAATAATGTTACCACTATCTCATGCATATATGTATAATATGATGGGCCGTGTTTTAAGGGTCATTGGGCACCACAGCTGTGAAAAGTCAGTATCTTCTTTAAATCTCTTCTTAGAACAGATTTTTATTTGTTGTTGTTGTTTTTAAAGGAACAGTCGGTAAGATTTAGGGGGATTTAGTGTCATCTATGAGACCTCCTGTGTGTTTCTGTAAGCTGAAACCATTTCCCTCAGTGGAAACAAAGCTTTTGTTTACTTTGATTTCACAGATAAGAAACAATAAATTGTGAAGACAATAAAGCCTCCACAAAAATAGCATTTTAAGTCGTGTGTGTGATTTATCCTGGCTTCATATGAGCAGAGGAAATCTCTGCTCATTACTACACTAATTTATACAATGTAAAATCCGACATCCCGTTGTTCCGATATGTGATTGCCACTTTCTTTTTCATTTTAACCCACACCAAGAGCTTTTCCCTTCACCCCTCTCTCCAGTTCTGCTTTATTAACACCGGGTTTAATATATTTTGCTTCCATCTCTCTGCCCTGCTCTACTCTACTTCAACGCTACTTAGCTCTCTCTCTACTCTACCAGTAGACTACCACATCCACCTGTTGCACAAAACGCACACAGCAGTGTTTCCCCTAGGATGGAGTTGTAGCAGCAGAGGTGAAGCACACGCATGAAAAATAATTTTCACATGCATGAAACTTTTTTGTATGTTTGCAAAGCACAGCCTGCTGGGATGTTTCTATGTATCTACTGGCACCAGAAGGGCTCTTTAGGACTAAGTACATACAGTACATGTGTGCACAGTAATGAGCAGGTGAAATGTCTGTCTAGCTTACATATGAGGTGTCTCAAGATTTAGGAACATACAATTTTATTGAATATAATAAAGTAAAAAGTCACTTGACATGCTGCTGTTTTGTGCTATGACCTATTTAAGTGTTGGAAGTTGTTATTTACGTGACAACGCCTGAACGCAACACAAGCTCAGCATGAGTGCCGTGCTGAGCTGCTGTGCGAGCAGCGTGTTTGTCTGTGTGTAACAGCAGTCTGTTGGTTATTTACACACTGTCCATTTCAATAACTTTGTCAGCTGACAAACTGCACCGGGCTCGGGGTCAGGTTTGGTCAGGAAAATGCGGCCCGAGCCGCTCTAGCGTGATCACCTGTGTGTGTGGCGGAACTCCACCGTGCGCGATACAGAGAGCAGAGGAGAATTGTTAACGTGTGACCATGTAGAGACAGAAATGACATGATGGCATAACACCATAAATAGTATATTGTTATGTTGTTATGAAGCGTCCGTCGCGCAAAATAATATCAATGGGGGCTGTGGGCAGGACATTGTTACACAGCTGTGCCTGTCACTTCAGGCAGAGAGACCGCTGCATCAGAGCCAAAGGAGCACGTTTTAAAATACATTTATTTTATCAATTAGTTATTAACTTTTACTATTTTTAGCAACTTGCCCAATCGGGCAAGTGAGTTGTTAGTTTACATGCCCGACCGTGAGTTTTACTTGTCCCGGGCAATCGGGCAATCGTTATTGTTGAGCCCTGACCACAGGGCATCATGATGATTTCGGAACAATGGGACTTTGGAACAATGGGTTTAATATGGTCAGAACAATGGGACGTCGTCGGAATAATGGGCTGTCGGACCAATGGGCAGTTCCCAAATGCTGCTGTTGTCCCAGGCTTCATATGAGAAGAGGAAAAGTCCGCTAGCTGCTAGGTAGGGCTGCAACTAACGATTATTTTCACTGTCGACTAATCTGTCGATTATTTCTTCGATTAGTCGACTAATCATTTCATCGAAAAATGTGTTAAAATGTTGAAAAATGTTGGTCTGTCTCGCCCAAACCCCAAAATTACGTCATCTTTTGTCTTGTTTTGTACTCACGCCGAAGGGTTTTAGTTCACTGTCACGGGAGAGTGTGTAAAGCTGCCAATATCTGAACTTAAGAAGCTGCAATAAGAGTATTTTGGGATACTTTTATAGTACTTTACTATGAAAAATGACTCAAACCGATTAGTCGACAACTAAAATAGTCACCGATTATTTTAATAGTCGATTAGTCGTCGATTAGTCGACTAATCGTGGCAGCCCTATTGCTAGGCTAATTTATACAATATAAAATGCCATAGGCTTGTGCTAATATGCACTGTCGCTCTTCACAGAAGAAGTTCCTAACAGAAAAATAAAGTTCTTTGAATTGAATTGCATTGAATTGAATAATAACATTAGCATGTTGTATTTGCTTGGAAAACGTGTTTAGTATAAGACCGTTATTTTGTCAGTGAATCTTGTGAGTTGTAATGGAGCAGAATTTTATAACATTACCTTTGTTAAATGTTGCTGTTGTCCCTGGTTTTATATGAGTAGAGGAAAAGTCTGCTAGCTGCTAGGCTAATTTATACAATATAAAATGCCATAGGCTTGTGCTAAAAACGTTAGCATGTTGTATTTGTGGGGAAAATGTGTCCAGATAAAGACAAGTGTTTGTGAATGCTGCGAGTTATAGTGAAGCTGATTTGTGCACTTGTGTTTGAAACTGTCTCTATTAAGCCATGTTTAATGTGTGTTTAATGTGTGTTAATGTGTGTTTTGAATCAACTAAACTTTACAGCACTTCACAGAAACCCCGCCGTCGACTAGTGTTTTGGAGGTGTAACTGCAGAGTGACACAGACACACCACCGCACAGGTATAAATGCTCACTACAGTGTAGGTCATAGAGCTGACGCACAAGTATAAATCTGCCTTAAGAGAGCTTGCAGATTGCAACCAGCTGAAACTTCTCCTGGTTAAGATTCCTTTAGTGTTCATTGTTCAGGAGGTTTCTACTGGGAGCCAAGTAATCTACAGATGTCTCTTTCTTTCCAAAACAAATGGACCAGGGGTCTCATTTATAAACATTGTGTACGCACAAAATGAGGCCTGAAAGAGGCATAAAAACAGCTATAACACAGACGTGATGAGAGAAACTTTGACCCATGCTTATGAACATTTTGGAGACGGGAAATTGTCGACGCAGATGGTGAGTTGGAAGCCTGATTGTATTGAGTTTTGTTATAATGCAGTTCATTATGCAAGGTTTGGAAGCGTATTGGCTATATTAACTGGCACTAATTATTAACTTGATCGTTTTAACTACAGTATGCACTGATTCAACTGATTTATCTTAATGTGAAACACCCATAAGGTTGCTCTGTTGCTTCACATTGCCTCTGGTACAATGAGCTATTTATTTTATTTATTTTAATCATTTTGTGAACAAAGTTTTTGTAGTTTTTACTTGTTGGAGGGTCCCTGACCTGCACGTAACAAAAAAGGACCTGCACCTACTGATAATAAGCTTGAGCCATGTCAAATGAAAACTTTCACAGGTCCATAATTTTCTTTACTAATAACAATTTCCTTCAAAGAACTACAGTATAGACTTTGGGAGTATTTATAGGGGGAAATTCAGCTCAGTTCAAACACAGGAAATTTTAAGTGTCTCTTCCTCAGTGACAAAATGCTTTTTTTAACTTAATATTTCATGTGAAAAACAAATGTTAGTTCCACCTGCCAAAAAACAGATCATAAAATAAACGTAGATATTTTAAGTTTTAAGACTACAGCATCGACACATAAAATTTGAATTATCATTAGAGGTATTACTATAACTTTACAACAGTCCCTAAGAACACCACAGTTGAAAAAAGTGTTTATCCCACATCAACGTGGTCATTTTACTTGTTCCTACTTCTACGTGGACAAATAACAGACAGACATGGATGGCCAAAAGCACGAGGAGATGATGGAGAGGAAACAGCAGGGAGGGAGAAACAGGAGAAAGCTCCAGAGGAGGGAGCACAGAGCTGGTTTTATTTGGTCTCTTGCCACTTTATCAGCACATTTCACTGTTCAGTCAGTCCTCTGATATCACATCTGTGAGAAACTGAGACATCTGACTTATCTTTCTTTGCTGCGGGAATTCTCTGATTAATGCCAGGAATAATAATCTTCACACCAAAATCACAAACTCTTTGGGAAATCTGCTTATTTGCTTTCGTCCTGAGAGTTAAATGAGAAGATCCATATCCTATAACCTTGGAGAGAAAGGACAAAGCTGCTGTCTTGGTAGAAGACACTCGTCTTTATTGCATCTCTCATGTCTTGGCTGATAAAAAGTTTACTTCCAAATAAAAACTTGACCCGGAGCAGCTTTAATTAGCTCAAGAAGTGTCCCACTGTGTCTGTGTCTGTGGCCTGGATAACACATCTTATCTGAAGTTTATGGCTCAAGCTGTTAATAGAAAGACAAAACATTTTCGGCAGCTGTTAAAGTGGCAAGCTCCAGCAGAGGCTGAGAGGGTTCATGGGGAAATGGCTCCAACACACAGAAAGCGCATGAATCACCAGGCTACGTGAGAAACAAACTCAATCGACCACAATACCTTACTGCAAAATCAAAATGAAAGCTCTTTTTCCTTCAAAGAAAGAAAAGAAAAAATACAACAAAAAGATAAAAGAAACATGTTATTTACACACACAGTGATGGAAGGACAGTGATGTTTAGAAGACAGACACCACCACTCCCACACAAACACACAAACTCCACAACATTAGTGACACCTTTCCCTCCATTTTGTTTTTCAGAAGGGGGTTGAAAACATTTGAACTGGAAACAAAACCACGATTGCCATGTATGTATATTTTATTTCACATATTAATCCAGATTATATGAGCTGTCAGCAGCTGGTTTAAGATGAATATTCCACTCCTGGCACAGTAGAGTGTCCCAGAGATGATGTTGTTCTGTAGGCTGATGCAAAAGTTCTCACTAGATTTTCGCTGTCCACTTTTGTAAGACATCAGAGCAAGTCGAGATGAAGTCGGACACAAAACTTAACCTGCATGCATTGTGCGGTGATCGCTGTTTTTCGAATCTGCGCAGGCCTGGCTCATCTTGAACGAGCCTAATGTGTGGCTAGCCAGCAGCTGATTAGCGTAGCTTAGCATAAAGACTGGAAACAGGGGGTAACAGCCTGGCTCAGGCCAAAGGCATTAAAATCTGCTTACCAGCACCTGTACAGCTCATTTACTAACATACACTAGGCTATCCAGTTTGTTTAACAACTATAAAAACGAGTGTGTAAAACATCAGGGGGAATTAGTCCAGTTTTTGTACAGATTACAGCCAGCTCATGTATCATGTGGATTGTTCATAGAGTTTTACAGATTAATTCAACCCCCTTTTGAAAAACAGCTGAAAGCTTTGCATTAGCAGCATTTGTTAGAAGAAACCCCAAACTTAAATATATTCAAACTTTTTCAGAGTAGCTCACAAAAACATTTAAAGTCTCACTTCTGCACAGCTCAGTGTGAAATGTTCTCAGGTCTGTGAAACCAGGGATGGAAACCTACCTCTTCTGTTTGTAGGTGAGCATGGCCTCTGCGATGGGAAGCTGGTGAGCTCCGTTAGCTCCCACCATGTACTGAGTCACCCTCGACACCACGTCTGGGCTCTCCTGGGCTGCAGGACACAGTCATTCATTATCTCATTTCCTAACAACTGTATACCTGAATACAAAGTCAGAAACACTAACATGGATGCTCATGTTCATTTTTTAAATTTCAAATCTAAATTCTGTGAGTTAGAAGCCAAAATGACAAGTCTTTCTGAATGTAGATGTTCTCTAGAAACTTCTGTGAACTATAAAATAAGTTATTTAAGTGTCAGTAAACGTACTCAACAACCTTATTTTTAGTTCCCAAAACTAACAGAGAAATTGGCATTGATGTGACAGAGGGTCGGTAAATGAGAGCCATGTATGTCTGCTGTATGTTGTGACTGTGTCCACTGTAATGTAGTGTGCTGTATATTTTGTGTTGGACCCCCTCCACAACGGGGCAATCTGCTGATAGACTTTGACACAGTAAGACACAAGAGCCCACCAACAACAGGAGCCTCTGGTTTGTGAAACAGGTCCCTCCAGGCAGCATCTTGGAACAAGCTGTTGTAACGATAGTCGATAGTGCCGAGATATTTGGAGACAGGATGTGCACCTGAACAGATCAAAGACAAACTTAAGACAACAAAAAGCTTCAAAGGTGTTAAAGGGGACCTATTATGCTTTTCCATAGTCCTCTTTAAATCATTAAACTTATATCATTTTAATTCTGCAGGATTTTAATCTGACAATCATATATTCACGTTTGAACAATAGCATCTTTAAATAGTCTAAATAAAAACAAAAACATGATTAACATGAAGGTCAGGCTGTCACTGACCTAGTGGGATGATGAGGAACCTCATGTAGCCGAGCCAGTCAGGGGTTTTATGGGAGAGGTGGTCCACAAAGAGCCTCAGAACAGCACTGAGGTAGTGCTGTGCTCCGGCCACGGCGATCTTTATGGGAATGGGCGTCTGGGAGTTACAGTTGCAACTAGGAAAGAAAACAAATAGATGGCTTAAAGTTTCCACGATAAATACCATCTCTCTACCAACTCTTTATATTAATCACCATTGACTCAAACATTGTGTAGCTATGTGCTCTGAAGTGAATATGAGATGGCACCAGAGTGAGTGAGAGGCCGACTTACAATCTCTGTATGCGGGAGACGATGGTGTTGAACGCAGCCTGGATGTCGGCCGTGGTGCAGGTGCAGACCACTGGGAGGTGGTGGTTTTGCAGCATATCTGAAAGATACTGAGAGCAGAGGAGAAGAAGAAACAGATGAGTGACGGAAACTAAAACTGAAAAGTGTGCATCTCACTGTCGCAAGTCTAATTGTTGAATTATTAACCCTTAAAAACCTGAACAAACTGGCTTGACCTAAAAAATACCAAGTAATTAGTAAAAGGAGAAAATTAGTGAAAAATGAAATGAAATAAAATGAAATAAATAAAATAAANNNGAAATAAATAAAATAAACAAAATAAGATAAAACAAAATTGAAATAAATTAATAAATTAAATTAAATTAAATTAAAAAATAAAGACATTTAACAAAAAAGTGACCTGGAAAGAGTGCTTAAAAATCATAATAATTCTGTAACATAATTCTAAAATGGAATAATAATAATGATTAATATACATATAGTTTTTTCCTTTGTTTTTTAAAATAATTTTCTAAATCTATTTTTTTTTTTTCAATTTGTGGGACATTTCTTACCAAGTTGCTCACTGCCTTTTTTCTCATGTTTTTGAAAGAAATCGCACCAATTTGCTCAGGGCTTAAAGGTTTAAAGCACAAGAAAAGTGTTTGTGTAACTCTTTAGAAATGGTGAATAACATATGTCATTCTATCTACAGCTCTACCAAAACATTTTGAAATTCAAGAATTAAATCAAATGAATGTAGTTTGCTCACCTGGCCCTGCCAGTCTGACGTGTTGATGAGGATGATGCTGTCAGGGAGCTGGTTATCAGACACCAGGATGTGGTTTAGTTGGTCATAAACTGTCTTTCTTGGGATCTGTGCAGGTAAAATAAGAAACCATTGGGTTAAAATAGGGACCCATGTCTTTGATTAAGAGACCAGAAAATATGTTTAATAAAATCCTCCTCCAGTGAATCTTCCAGAATAAAAACTTTAAAGTGAATGAGTTGGAGTGGTGATAGAACTTAGATCTTTTATTTAAGTAAAAGTAGCAATATAACAGTATAAAAATCTATTACAAGTTAATAGCTACAGTTGGTAACTTTTGTGAAAATAACTTTTTGTTTTATATTTGCTGAAACTGTCACTACATCCACACATTAGTACATAAGACAGAGTCAGAGGTTCCTCCTTCTCCTCCTCACAGTGCTTTAAGATGAATCTTCAAGACATTGTGGTTTGTAAAGAGTCTACAAATGTGCTATTTAATGTTGATAATATCAACTCCACAGCTGTGGTAAGATCTGTCAAGTATTAACAAAAATATACAATAGCTTCTGAGCAGGTCTGCAGTGCTCTCCTCCTACCTGTAGGTGGCAGCGTGTGTCCAGGGACCGCTCGTTGTCCAGGCTGTTGGCCCTCTCATTTTGTGGCCTGCTGGGCTGCCGCTCCTTCAGCGACGTGCTCCTGCCTCGCCTCCCTGCCAACTTCGGTTCCTGCCTGAAAAACAGCAGAAGAAGAAGCTGGAGGACTGAAGCGTCACAGGCAGACACAATGATGTAATGGTCAACAACAGGAAGTGGAAACCCTGATCTGTGGGTGATGATTACAGAAAGACACACACACACCAATATGAATTAAAATTAAAGACTGAATCATATTTTTTCCCCTTTAAAAAGTCACAATTGATCAGTCATGATGTTTTCTGCAGGTGTCGACCTTAAACAACCCTCCTGCAGACACATATTGATTATTCCTATTTGTCTACCTGTTGGATGAAATGATTAGGGACTCTGTCTTGGTCATTTTGCCACTCGGTGGCAGTCTCTCTAAAAATGTGTCCATGTTGTCCATCTCCAGCTCCGTGGTCGGAGTCACCGCCTCTGGCTGCTCCTGAGAGAAACACACAGAGAGGAAAACAGCAGCAGGGTTTAAGAGCTGACAGCTGACAGACGTGTTTTTCCTTTGTTTTTAAACATCTCTTTTTCACACCTCTAATGTCTCAACTGTCCCTGAAGACTTCAGTTGTTTTCCATTATGATTTACTTTAATTGTGTCTGGGTGTTTATGACAGCAAACTTCATCATTGACAGGTAAAATGTGTCTCCTCTTCCTGTACGTGACAATTTTTAAAGTCCTATTTTGACATTTTTCCTCACAATATTGACTTACAATAAAAAGCCTATTGATCTCAGGCAGCTTGAGGAGTTGATACTCACAAAGGAGACGTTATCAGACACACCATCATCTGGAAATTTGGCCCCAGCACACTTTGTTTTATCTGGGTCGATCTGGAATAAGATGATGAGAAGAATAATAAACCCCAGAACTTTTGTTTCACACAAAGTAAAGCATTGTTTCCTTCAGCATCTCGTGATGGAGTCTTGGTTCCAGAAGTCCTACGGTTTCACAAACAAACCGGTGATCACGTTATAACCTGTGAACTGTTGGGAAAATCTGAGTCTGACTCTTCTGCGCTGCGGTTAAAGATGCCCTCCAGCTGGATAATTGATGCCTTTCTGCTCTAGTAGATCTGCTCACTGGCATTCAGTGCAGCTCAGTGGTTACACTGGTCAGCCTCCAGCTGTTTCACCGTGGTGTTAGTAACCCAGTTTATCTAAGTAAATACAGATGAAGCCGGGGGCTGAAGTGGGCATGTGATCAGGGACACAAAGAAGCACAAAAAGGCTCCATGTTCAAAGAAAAGGAAAACTGCATGAAGTTATTTAGGAGTGTTTTAAACATTGTGTTAGTCACTGTGCTGTCGCAGTGTCTCACCGGGCTCGGAGGCTCCCGGTGGCTCCGGCTGCTGTGGATGCTTCCGATTTCAGTTTGAGAGCTGGAGAGGGAGAGACCCTCAAAATATGGCCTGAAACACAAGAACACAAATCACTTAGTCTCAAAATCATAGACGTAGATTTCAGGGGGGGTGCAGGACATATGTCCGTCTCAATATTTAGAACATGTCAGGTTGACCTACTACAGACTAAAGGTCAGGATATCTCAGCCTCTGCTGCTTTGATTTTGATCATTAGTGTATTTAAAGTACTTTACTGCTGGAAAGATGGTCTTTTCATAAAACTGGTCTGTTCTGTGCAGTAGAAAGATGCAAATACTTTTAAAATTGGTGCTACATGAACAGAGAAAACCAAGATAAAGGTCCGTGGTAGAAAATCTACAACTACCAGAATGCACTGCGCCGCACCGGACAAATAAATGCTCCTGCTGGTGCGTGACGTAATGCCAGCTTGTCTGTATTGACACAAGAAACAATATGGCGGCTAGCTAACAACAAACAATCTCGAACTACAGTTAAACAGTAAGGAGGACTGGTGACAGTGTGAGTGTGAATACTGTGAGAGTCAGGACATCGAGGCGAGATTCAGCATGGCGGGGCCCAACAAAAAGACGAACAAAAAAGGAATAAAACTACATTTCTGGTCTGATCACAACCACAGCACACCTTCTTCAACCAGTCCGAAGTGAAATAACCTTACAGAGTAAGATTTAACGGACCTCGAGGCATTCATCGACCACTATTACCGTCGGCAAAACAACATGAAACAGGACCTGAACTCAGAAAACCCCCTCTCTTCAACGGACACAAACGACCTCAGAATGACCGAAACTGAGGTCAGTCTGCTGGCCAGCATTAACCAAAAACTTGATCTCCTAGTTTCACTACACCAAGAAATTAAAGACGTACGCAACAGCTTGGAATTCGCACACAACAACATACTAAAACTGCAAATTACAGTTTAACAGAGAGCTGAAATATGTTACTGAAAACATTTTTGTGCTGGCACAGGATCTTGGTTCATTTTTGATCAGCACTGCTTAGTTTTACTGATTGATCTCCTCGTCTTCCGCTTTTACGCCACAGGAAACAGTATGGTGCACACAAAGTCTTATATTACAGCCAATCAAGGCATTAAAATATGTTTCTGAAGACATTTGAGGTGAGAAACTGACAATGCAGGAGCAGAATCCTGGTTTCAATGCTGCCTAGTTTTATAGTTTGATCTGAGTTTGAGAGAAAGAAACGCCCCTCTCTTTCGATTTGAGCTGAGGGATGAGTAGTGAGATCTGGGTGCTGGTAACATGGAAGGAAGTTTACCATCGTTCATTCACACAAACTACCCACACTGTTATGATACAAAGCTGGTTGAAAACTGGCAACATGTCCCTTTAATGGCATTTGATCCACACTGACGACTCAAAGTCAGGATATCTCATCCTCTGCTGCTTTGATTTTGATCATTCTTTATCGTATATTTAAATGCAACACTAAACTGTTGAAGAGCTCCTTTAACTTCATGTTTTAACAAAGTAAAGTGTCTCATTATCTAAAAGTTGCTTCACAGAGTTTCCTACCCTGCAGTGCAAAGACATAAAACCTAGAGGAAACCCTGAATATGCAATTGAAGTTATTTAAAGCAGTGACATTAAAATGTCCTCAACACAGAATATTAGCACAAAATATTTGCCTTATACAGCTTCAATAACAAGGCTAACATTTATAGTCGAGCAGCCTCTGGTTATTTCAGGCTCCGTCTGTGCTGCGGGGTTTAACAAGCATTTGAGAACATGGGTATGTGTTTTCTTAAAGGGACAGTTCACTCCAAAATCAAAAATGCATATTGTTCCTCTTACCTATAGTGCTGTCTATTAATCTAGATTGTTTTGGTGTGAGTTGCAGAGTGTCGGAGATATCAGCTTTAGAGATGTCTGCCTTCTCTCCAACCTAATAGAACTAGATGGCACTCAGCTTGTGGTGCTCAAAGCGCCAAAAAAATACATTTGAAAAACTCAACATCAATGTCTCTTTCCAGAAATCATGACCTGGTTACTCAAGATAATCCACAGACCTTGTTGTGAGCAGTTTCATGTAGGAACTATTTTCTCTGTACTGAACTACACCTGCAAACCGTATCACCGTGCAAAGGAAAGCGTGCATCTATTGCTAGCTTAACACTCATCACTGAGCTAGCTAACATTACAGCTCTGCCGAGGAGGACGCCATTAATGTTTACATCTCGCACTGTCACAAGCAGAAGCTTCTCGTCCCTGAGTAGATGCACTCTTCCTGCTGCACTGTTATATGATTGGCGGACATAGGCCTGCAGCACCCAATATAAGCCAAGTGTTTCACAAGTACACACACACTTATAGCTGCTGAGAAACACTGACTTGAGTTTAGGTTTTGGTGTGCTGAGGACGCTGTCGTCGTCATCTAGCTCAGGGCCGCTGTCACTTGGGTTCTCAAACTCTACACTGTCCAAGTCCAGGTCCTCCTCCTCCACTTCAGGGGGCGGCTCTGCGGGGTCCTGCTCCGAGTCCAGCACCTTCACACACACAAACACACACGTTACATCTTTAGAAGCTTTACAGTGAATGCATGAGAGAAAACTCCTAGAGACAGCAACACTCACCTCGTCTGAAACTCTGAAGCGCTTCAGTAGAGCCACGACTCGCTGCTTAAAGTTCTGCTGCTATAACACAGGAGAACAACCACAAGTCAGTCTGTGACCTAGTTATGATTTACTACGGTGCCCTCAGCAATCCAATACAGAGAGAACAGCTACAGCTGCCCAGCGCTCCATTTTAGTCATTTTACCAGCAGTAGATGCATTTGCAGAGTCGGCCGGGTATCGATTTCGCTGCGTGTGCTCATGTAAATCAATAATCAAGCAACATCATGCTTCATCTGCTTTCAGGGGCTTTCATCTGCTGTTTCTGCTCACTGAGCTTTACAAAACCAAATCACCCACAAGTAAAAACACATTCAAACGGTCTCATTTGAGCTCAATGAAAGGTGTTTAATAAGACTTGACCATCTGTAAATTAATCACCTGCAACATGAACAAAATGAGGTGTAATAATTGGGAATAAATGGTGTTTATTTTAGAGGCACATTCAAGTGCAGCATGAATTAACTGTATTCTTCAGCTTTAAACAAATACAAAGCTCTCTAAAGTGTTTCTACAGAGAACAAATTGTCCACTATGTCTGAGGTAAAGAGATAAAGGTCAAAATAGTCCTGTTCACCTTCACCTTTATGACTTTACAACACATACAGAGAGCTGCCGTAACAGTCTGCCGTTTAACTGTTGAATAAAGGTTAAAATGCAAAGCTGTCACTGTGCATTTTAAAATACACTTTTCATACTTTACTGCTGGAACTGATTCAAGTTTTGAACCACAACAAACTTTAATGTGTTTGGATGTAAGACACAACATTTCTGAGAAATGCGCTCATTTATTTTCTTGCTGTGAATCACACTTGGAGATCGATACCACTTTCATATCTGTGTACAAGCAGCCGATTAGCTCAGTTCAGCAAAAAGACCAAAATCAGGAGAAGGCAGAAAACCTGGTTCTGTCCACAACAAAATCCACCTACCCGCATTTCTAAATCTCACTTTATTAACATGTTATTATTCATTAGTTTCAGGTGTTACACTAACATGTTGTGGTTTTATAAAGGGTTACAGTATGTGTGGAACTATTTCTTAAGAGCATGTCGTCACTGTGAGGTTACCAGCAAAGACTCAAAGAGGTAGCTGTCTCTGGCCAAGAAATAAGGTTGTAATAAGTATCAATATTTTGATACTCTTTCGATACTATGTGAGATGATGGAATCTCCAATAATTATACATTCGGCAGTCTTAAAAGTACCAAAGCTTTTAAAAAAAACTAAAATTAGCACCTCGTGGTTGGTTGCCTCCACCGCTCAGTCAAGTAAAAGTTTACACCCATGTCTGTACAGACTTATGATAGTAACAAATGCTTCAAATATGGATGTTGTTGCGAAGAAGCTACAAATTCTAAAACATGGATGCTTCACACATCTTCAATCCGGCAGCACGGAAGATCTTTACAATCAGCACAGTTTCAAGATCAGTGTCACCAATTCAGTATCTGATCAACGTTTCCACATCTCTTCCTGAGATATGATGTAGAGTAATGGCCAGAAAAATGTTTTATGCAGAACATTATGACGTCACAGTGAAGTTGACCTTTGACCTTTTGGATATAAAATGTCATCACTTAATCATTTTATTCTCTTAGACATTTGTGTGAAATTTTGTCATAATTAGCGTAGAAATTCTTGAGTTATGGCCAAAAACATGTTTTGTGAGGTCACACTGACCTTTGACCAGGGTGACCATATTTTGATTTCCAAAAAAGAGGACACTCGGCCCAGCCACGACATAGCCTACTTAAATGATACTCGCAGTTTACTCAAAGATGCCTTATCATTTTAATATATTTAAAATTTATATGTATGGATAGAAAATTCAGTTATATTACAAAATAATATCTCTCAAAGACAGAAATTCAGATAGGCCCCAATAGGGGACACATACACACACTAGAGTGTGGCGATCAGAGCCCGACGGTACCCGACGGTACCCGACGGGTCGGGCCGGGTTTGGTCAAAAATGTATACATTGTATTCGGGCTCGGGTCGGATTCGGTCAGCTTTCAGTGAAAATGTAGTGTAAAAATAAATAAAATCCAGACCTCCAGCCGCCCACCTCCGCCTTGTTTAAACGCTGAAAATAAAATTAAAGAGGGAGACAGGTTTTTCCTATTTAATCTTATTTTGTTTTATTTCTCCCTCTCCTCTCGCTGGAAGCGTCGGACCTCCTGCCTCCCGCTCCCATCTCAAACACGGAGGTCTCCCTCTCCGCTGAGCACCCACGGCGCACGCCCGGCCTGTTAAATAGCCTGTAACCATAATAACTGTGTGACACAAATTCAGTGATTTAGTAGCCTAATTAAATAATGTCAGGCTCGGTTCGGGTTTTGACAGAAATATGCGGCCCGTGCCACACTCTAACACACACACACAAACGGAAAACCGGACATTATCATCAATTTATAAAAAAACCCCGGACGCCCCGGACAGGACGTGAAAAGTGGACATGTCCAGGCAAAAGAGGACATTTGGTCAGCCTACCTTTGACCACCAGTTCATTCTTGAGTCCAAGTGGACGTTTGTGCCAAATTTGAAGAAATTCCGTCAAGGCGTTCCTGAGGTATTGCGTTTACGAGAATGAGATGGCTGCAAATTCACAATGACTTTTGACCTATGACCACCAAAATCTATTAAGTTCAGTGTTGAGTCCAGGTGGACGTTTGTGCCAAATTTGAAGGACTTTCCTTGAGGTGTTCTTGAAATATCTTGTTCACCAGAATGGGACAGACAACCCCATAACATAAAGCCTCTGGCTACTGCAGGGGTCGGCAACCTTTACTGTCAAAGGAGCTGTTTTTGACCAATATATGACGGTAACACAGCCTATTAAGTCCAAATTTAGCCTAACATCATTACTTACAGGTCTAAATGAGCAGTCATTAATATGTTTTACCACCAGGTGGCTCCTCTGCATTGGACTCCTTATGATGATTTGGTAACTTTGCAGCATTGGTGGTGAAAGCAAATTAATCTGTCCACACCCTATTAAATCCTCTATTTTCCTCCAGGATGTTTCCTTTTTTGGATTTGGAAGCCAAAGCTAGCCTAGCTGGGAGACTCAAGACCCAAGTATCAGTTTTTATAGCAGTATTGTATGAAAAGCTTAAAATTATAGTTGTGCCACAACCTTATTTTGTGCCATACTAGTAACTAGAGGACACTGTGTGTCCACTGCATGGATGGTGTCGTGGTCGAAGGTTTGTGTCCCTGTAGGCAGGGATGCTCAATCTAAACACTTCCATGTATTGTTCTTTATATTTAGTCTGGCCTCGTCTCTTACTCTGGTGATGGAGGGGGTCCTCACAATCGACCTCCTCTGCTTCTTTGGCTTCCTCACATCGTACTCATCATCTTCCAGATCCTGAAAAAACAAGACGCAATGAAGAAGAGTTCAAATACATCGGTTTAGATGACCAAGATGAGGTAAACTGATTTGCCTCAATGACTCCCAGGCTGACTCACCTGTCCCTGCACAGCATCATCACTGGCCTCCTGCTCTGAGGAGAAGCTCTCGTACTCCTCCTCTGAGTAGTTATCTGGAGCAGAAGACGAGCAGTGAGATTAAAGGCAGGAGTGAAGGAGATGCCTCATACATATTTCAATGACCCTTTTAAATCTGACATGCAGCTGGGCTCTAAATATACATGATGTACAGTACACACACATCTGTATGCTACCTGAGTTTCATCATTCATTGCATGAGTACAAAACACCCTGAACCCTGTGACCCTGCTCCGTTCAGCACATGGAGCATATTCTGTGATAACGATGGCGTTGAGCTGTGTTAACCTCAGAATAACCAGCGGTAACGAGAGGCAAAGTGTACCGGAGCATTTGATCTTCTGTCCTCCCTGCAGGGCCGCCTCCTCGTGGTCTATCGGCTGACTGGACAGAGAGAAGATCCAGATCTCGGCCACCTTCCCCAGCATGTCTTTCTGGTTGCTGCAGAGAGGAAGAACCTGGCCTCCCTCCGTCGGGTGCTGCATCACCTGAAGGAAAGGAGGGCAGAGGCAGAACATGAGGGAGAGGAGGACATGAGAGGAATCTTCAGTAAGACTGACTGATCCAAGCACAATAATCACATTACTTGACTTTTTAAATCCCAAATTGTCAAATAAGAGAAATACCCACATTAACACTGTTCAAATAATTGCTGTTGTATGTTTTCTGACCTTTTTACATACAAAAATGTAGAGATATCAAGTTCTCCACCTGCAGTTAATATTATATATCATAATGCATTGCAGGCTCAGAGATACCATGTTTCGTTTGGAGATGGAAATTTAATGTAATTCAAGGCACCGAGGCAGAAAACCAGAAAAAAACAGAAAAAAGTGTACAGATTTGAGGGAGCTGGAACATTCATAACATATCTATGATCCAGATTCTGATTCAGATTGCCCACACAGGGCTCTCAACATGGAGGTAACTGATCCAGTTGCTAGCTGCTAACAGGGGAAACAGCATGAACAGTGCTAACAATTGCAACAGTGCTGACAGAGCTAACGGTGTTTACCGTGGGGGAGCACCGGAGTTTAGGCACTGTGCTTCCTAGAAAGTGTCGTATAAGCACGACGCAAAGTGGCAGCGATTAGCTAGCCAGTAGGATGCACACTAGAGTTCTCAATGGGCCGAATAAATGACAACCCAAACCAAGCCCGAACTCAGTCCGTCCAAGATCATCACATAAATTACTGAGCCCAGGCCCAACCAAGCCGACCCCCTACAAAAAGCACTTTTCGGTTTCACACTTGAGATACACCAGCTGTGTGGCGGTGCAAGCCAGGTGCGTCACCAGCAGAAAATGGAGATCCACCAGCTTGGTGGATCACCGACTCTCCACACTGTATTTTCGGGTCCATGTCATTGGTTCGACAGCCCATTGGTTCGACATCCCATTAGTCCGACTGTCCGCGGTGCTGAACGGCTCGCGGCGGGCGTATGGTGTGCCGTGACCGGCTTGAGGCGGAGCAGGCTCACGTCTTATGTGTTTGTCACTTTCTTTTTCATTTTAACCCACACCATGATCTTTTCCTGACCCTAACCAAGTGGTTTTTGTGCCTAAACCTATCCAGACCTTAACCACAGGGCATCATGATGATTTCGGAACGGACTTTGGAACAATGAGTTTAATATGGTCGGAACAATGGGATGTCGAACCAATGGGCAGTTCCCGTATTTTCCTGCCAGAGAAGCTCCCTGCTCCAGCCAGGAGGAAGAACAGGGAGCCCAGCACGAAGCCGAGGTGCTCATCGAGTGCTCTCTTTTTAATATTATTTATTAAAAATTTGAACTTTTTTTTTTCTACACAGCCCAAGCCCTACCCAACCCTGCCAATCAATGCACATTTTCATCCCAAACCCTGAAAAGTCTCCTGTCAAGACGCCATTACTCCACTTTATCTTTACACACTTTATCTTTATCTTTGCTGCTTTACTGAATGTTCTGAATCTCATATACACTTAACTTGATCTTTAACTTATTTTATTCAGCTTTATTCAACCACTTTTCTAGTCTATTTATTTGGCATTACACTGTCCAGCCTGTAGGGTTGCAGTAATAAAATGTATTTTGATTCCCCTCTACAGCCTGTATTTCAACATATTTCTGTATCATGATGTTGTTGAATATTATTTCTGGCTTACATGATTCAGGTATTGTTTTAATGGGCTACACTAACTGTTTTACATATACATAAGTTTTGTTTGAATGCAATTGAAAAAAAAACCCACCAAATCATGTCCACATTGCAATGAATTGTGGGCAATAAAATTAGTGAAGTCTGCTGAAGTCTGCACCCCAAACTCACTCTCTGGAAGTCTGCAGAAAGTCCGCTTTAGGCCTCTTGTGGACTGGTTGAATTGTGGATTTGGACAGTCCTAAGCACTCCCAGGTATCCTGGGAACACGCCTCGAAAGTCCGGACATTTGGTTTATATTTTTTTTCCGAAATGAGGGTTTGAGGACAGAGGGTGCCCTGTGCTAAGTGAGTAAAACTTGTGATATTAAGTTATATGAATTATCTATTTTTTGTTATTCAGTTTTGTTTCAGCATGGAGGCTCTTTCTGTTACCTTATCTCTACAAACCCACACATTCACACCTGAGAGCTGCTCATCTTAACCACCCACTGTTTTCAGCAGCTGCTCAACAGCACCTCAGTAGTTTTCACTGAGTGAGAGACGGAGCTATTCACTGTGGACATAATTTACACTGCAGAGATTCACACCCTCGTCTCAAACCAAGGTCACTTCAGGACAGCACCGCCCCAAATCTGGACGACTCCCTCTGTTCTGCTGCAGTCCGGTGAGACCATGTCAGCCTGTAGCTGTTTACACTGTATCATGTGTGTGCTATGTTGTGTTAGAGCCTCTTTGTATCCCTGAGTTGAAAAAGCGAGAACTATTTCTTTCTTGTGGTAAAATAACGCTCTGTTTCTGCTTTATTTATTTATTTCTCACAGGCGCCGAATTGCTTTCTTTTCTTCTCTCAGCTGCTGAGATGTGACCTTAATAAGCTCCGCTGAGCTTTGTGAGCCACGTGGGAACTCCTCAGTTTATCAGCATCATCTGCACTGGATAATATTCATCTGGAGGAAGATTCTGATTCTCATGTGTTCTTGGTTTGCTTAAAACACAAAAAACAAGTTTTAAAAAAAAGGGGCGAGATAGCCTGAGTTATTTTTCTGAATATTTCATCATCACCTTACGATAAATCTAAGAAAGCAGGTTTGTGCTGTGAAAAAAAGTCTTTCAAAGATAAAAGCAGTCAGTGCAATCACCAGAACGAAATCTTTTCATTGAATGTTTCTGCAATCCACGGATACATCACATTTGTACATTGTTTCATAGCATAGACATTTGTTTCTCAACAATGCTGAGGTTAATGTGTGGTTAGGTTTAGGCACAAAAAACACTTGGTAATGGTTAGGAACAGGTCATGTTTTGGCTTAAAACACCCACATTTGGTGGCACAATGCAAGAACTAGAAAAGCAGGGACGGGTTGGTGAAATACACCCAGGTTTGGTGATTCAAACGCCACTGAGAAATGCCACAGTGTGTTTCCAAAAACACCCAGGTTTGGTTCTAAAAATGCTGGGAGAAACACCACAATGTTTCACTAAAAACACCCAGGTTAGGTGGCTCAAATGTCACTGGGACACGCTGTGATGTGTTGCTACAAACACCCAGGTTCAATGGCACAAACACTGGTGGACATGTTGTGATGTGTCGCTAAAAAACAACAAGGTTCAATAGCTCCAGCCCTGCTGGGATATGTAGTCATGTGTCAGAGAAAAACACCCAGGTTTACAGACACAAACACCGGTGAAAACAGTGATCTGTCACTAATAACACCCAGGTTCGGTGGCTCAAATGTTGCTGGGAAAAACTGTGATGTGTCGCTACAAACACCCAGGTTCAGTGGCTTCAGTCCTGCTGGGAAATGTTGTCTTGTGTTGCTACAAACATCCAGGTTTGGTGGCTTCAGCCCTGCTGGGAAACGTTGTCTTGTGTTGCTACAAACACCTGGGTTCGGTGGCTCAAATGTCACAGAGAAGTGCCACAATGTGTCTCCAGAAACACCCAGGTTTGGTTCTAAAAATACTGCTAGAAACACCACAATGTTTGACTAAAAACACCCAAGTTCAGTGGTTCAAATGCTGCTGGGAAACGCTATGATGTGTCACTATAAACACCCAGGTTCAATGGCACAAATACTGGTGGACAAGTTATGATGTGTCGCTACAAACACCAAGGTTCAACAGCTCCAGCCCTGCTTGGAAACGTAACAATGTGTTGGAGAAAAACACCCAGGATCAGTGCCACAAACACTGGTGGAAACACGGTGATCTGTCGCTAAAAACACCCAGGTCCTGTGGCTCCAGCCCTGCTGGGAAACATCGGCTTGTGTTGCTACAGACACCCAGGTTCATTGGAATAAACACTGGTGGACATGTTGTGATGGGTCGCTAAAAACATCCAGGTTCATTGCCACAAACACTGGAAGAAACGCGGAGATATGTCAGAGAAAAACACCAAGGTTTGGTGCCACAAACACTGGTGGAAACACTGCGATGTGTTCCTAAAAGCACCCAGGTTTAATGGCAAAAACACTGGTGGACACATTGTGATGTGTCACTAAAAACACCAAGGTTTGCTGAGAAATGTTGCAATGTGTCGGAGAAAAACACCCAAATTCACGTCCACAATCACTGGTGAAAACACAGCGATGTGTTGCTAAAAACACCCAGGTTCTGTGGCTCCAGCCCTGCTGGGAAACATCGCAATGTGTCAGAGAAAAATACCCAGGTTCAGTGCTGCAAACACTGGTGGAAACGCTGCGATGTGTTGCTAAAAACACCCAGGTTCTGTGGCTCCACCCCTGCTGGGAAACATTGCAATGTGTCAGAGAAAAACACCCAGGTTCAGTGCCAAAAACAGTGTTGGAAACACACAACATAATGCTAAAAACACCCTTGTTTAATGACACAAACACCGGTGGAAACGCTGCAATGTGTTGCGAAAAACACCCAGGTTCTGTGGCTTCGACCCTGCTGGGAAACGTTGTGATATGTCAGAGAAAAACATCCAAGTTCAGTCACAAACACTGGTGGAAACAGCACAGAGGGTCGCTAAGAGACAGTGGGTTTTGTTAACATGGAGTGGCCCAGTAGCTAACTGGTAGAACGTGCACCCTATATACTAAGACTGCATCCTTGCTGCAGTGGCCCTGGTTTGATTCCAGCCAGGGGCCCTTTGCTTCACGTCGTCCTCTCTCTCTTTCTCCCCTTCTCCTGTCTGTCTCCATCTGTACTATCAATAAAGGCAAAAAGGCCAAAAACCTCATCTTAAATAAAGGTAACAGTGTTAGTTTCCAGCTAATTAAGGGGAAAGGGACTTATTTAAGACAGCTTTTTAAAGAGCCGGGAGTTATAGTACAAAAGGGCACTGCCAATCCCTGGGTGAAGATGAGGAGGACTGGGCCTTCCACTAAATGTCAACCTGCAGCTCCAACATCCTCCATTTTCTCATTACATTTTCACACTGGTCCTGACACTAACAGCCTGTTACAGCAGATGCACCGTCCTGCTCCTGCCTGCCCTCAGACTTCAAGACACAAAGTGCTACAGAAGTGATCTGCCACCTTATTAGCCTCGACATACACAGGTGATATTGCCCACCATTAGATCTTACAACAGGAACATGAATGCAGTGCGGTGATAATGTACCTCGGCCATATCGATAGATCCCACTGCGAGCGTCTTGTAGCCCAGGATAGTTCGGTTCTTGTATCTCTTCCGCCTTTGCAGCATGATCTGCAGCTTGTTTCCTTCTCGTTTTAAGAAGTGAGGGTACTGAAGAGGAGAGACAGAGAGAAGGACAAGTGACTCAGAGTGTAACAGGTAGCTTTAAGAGTCAGGTCAGTGATAAACTATGTTTTTATCATGTGGACAAACCCCATAAAAAGACCAAAAGCAGCAGCTTCATATATGTTTGAAGCCCCTGAAAACTCTGCAAGTATTTCTCTAATGTGTTAAATATTCATAACTAAATAAGGAGTAATTATAGTAAGATATGAGCTATTAATTATGTCACTCAATAGCTGAGCTAATCTGCGTCTTCCCATCTGGGTGGGTGTGATTTCTGATCTTATTTGACTGACAGTGATCTGACAACATCAGAAATCTAGAATTACTGCCTCACAGTTTTATGCCTCTGCACACCAGTCAAGTTGCACTCACAGTTTACATCTATGTCTGTGAAAACATGGATGCTTCACACACATCTTCCCCGTGACAGCACAGAAGATCTAAACAGTCACTTTATAAGTGAGTGTCACTAATTAAGTACAAATGCATCCCCTTCTGTTCCTGAGATATGACGTTAAGTAATGGCCAAAGCATGTTTTGTGAGGTCACAGTGACCTCTGACCACCAACATCTAATCAGTTAACCCTTAAGTTTAAATGAATGTCTTCCTGAGGTAAAGAAATTCTCTCAAGGTGTTTCTGAGATATCACGTTCAAGAGAATGCGACAGATGTGAGGTCACAGTGACCTTCAACTTTTAGACCTTTGACCTCTAAAATCTAATCTGCTCAGTCTGGAGTCCTGATGGACGTTTGTGGCAAATTTCCTCAACGTGTTCTTGAGGTATGGCATTCATGAGAAAAGGACAACCTTAAACATGAACCCTCCAGCCATACTGTAGCTGCCGCTGCTGCGGAGGCATAAAAAGCTGTGTTCCCCTTTGTGTTTTTATCGTCCTCATGTTGGTGTTGTTTCAGACTTGTGAGAAGGCTGTTTGACCTTCAGCTGCCAAATTCTAATCAGTTCATTCTTGAGTCTAAACTTTTGCGTTCTCCCATGAGATATTTTGAGTCTCTGTGCACACCTCCTGCAGCAACGCAACATGCAAAAAGCTTGGTGAAGGCGAATATAGCCTGGATCAACAGGTGTGATGATTATCAAATACTCATTCAGCCAGTCAGATCAGAACTTATCATCATATATTATCAGCAGAATATCAAGTAAAACCAACCTGTCTGCTGTGTGTATAGGTCTGAATGGTTATACACTAGAGCAGCCTGGTTGTTTCTGGCTGATTTAATGAAGGTAAATAGTGAATGGTCATGTGTAATGGCCATGTCCCTTTAGGGGCTCCGTAAGTCTAAGTGAACGTTTGTGCCAAATTTAAAAACTCATGTTCACAAGAATCAGATGAACAGACAGACGAACAATTCGAAAACATAATGCCTGCAGCCATGACTATCACCGCCACAGAGGTATAAAAACCCAAGTCATTCATAATGTTTTACTCCAAATGCAGATAATTATGTGATGTCACCTTTTTCAAATTGAGACGCCTCCAATGAGAAGAGCTCAAACAAAGATGCAAATACAGGAATTCTTTATGAGAAATATCCAAAACTGTTGTAAAATAATGAAGAAAATACGTCTTTAATAAAACTACAGCATCCAGCTGTTTTAGGAACTACCTTCCCTGCCAATTCCTGCCAATCAGAGGCAGAGTAGGACAGGCCTTGCCAAGAAAAGCCAATAGCGAAGCAGCACGCAGAGGAAACTGAAGGATTAGTATCTGATAGCATATGGACGTGCTTCCCTCATCTACATGCCTCGCTCCGTGTGGCGCTGGCATCAGTCACATTACATTACTACTTATTCAGACCTTGCACTTCAGAGTTTTCCTGGGAAAAAAAGCTTGTTACTTTGGTGGATGCTACTGCGCTACTCAGTCAACTTTGCTACTGAAAAGTTATTTGACTCAGAAAGTAGTGATGTCACCAGCACGCTACTGAGAAATGTAGTTAAGTAACGTCGCTACTTGTAGTGACGCTACTGCCCAACACTGTAAACTAATGAAAGCTACTACGAAAAGAAGGTTAACTAGTTTAATAACATGTATGAATGTAATCAAACTCACTGTAAACACACTGTTGGTGTCGGTCTTTTCATGGGATTTCTTGAGAATAACATAAATATCATATATAATCATGTATATGAGAGAGACAGTATATTTTCCTGTTTTATCTTTTGATGATTTAACACCCCACAAACACCGAGAGATGCACCACCACACAGTATTTCAGATACACAAAACAGAGCTTCAGATCTCATTGATCATCATGCATCATCTAATCTAAGTCGCCATGGCAACAAGTGTTATAAAGCTCAGCCCACACAATGATCTCACTTCAACAAGAAAAAACAAAACAGCAAATATGATCCCAAAAACTATTCATAAACTATTCATGTGACAACCTACTATGTTTATTTTTAACCAAACAGCAGCATGGTGATTTTATTCTTGTTACCTGCAGTGAGAAGGTGAGAGCCAGATCGGTCTCCACAGACCCACTGGGTGGCAGCACAATCTCATGGGACCTCAGGATCCGTTTGGAGCCCTGTGAGAAAAAAAAAACACAGTGAAAGGAAAAAAAACAAAACGAGGTGGTGTGTAATTTAGTGTGAGTCCGTCCCCTGGAAGATTTCTGCATCTCTGCTGTTGTTTTTCACTCCGCAGCGAAGGTGCAAGGCGTAAATAATTCAACAGGGTTCGACACATTTTAAAATGTGTGCATGTGTGAGAACATTTGAGCTGTTTTCTGGCTCATTTTAACCAATTTTCTGCTCAGAAACTGGTTTGATTTTTGTTAAATTTAGGTTATAGTTGCACGAGAACGTATCTTTGACCAAAATAAATCTGGATATGATGTACAGTGTACTATAGTCTCTCACAACTTGCCTTAAAGGTGGAAAAACAACATTAAAAGATGGATTTAAACAGGCAAAAAGGAAAATATGAAACACAATCTAACCTCCCGAGATTTTTTTTTTGCATTTGTTTTTGTTTGTGTTTGTTTGTGTGCAGCAGGTTTGCACACACCCGGGGCCTGTATCACGAAGCAGGATTTTGTCTTAGCGAGGTAACTTCAGGGTTAACCCTGGGTTTTCGGTCTCACAAAGCCGGTTCAGTTCTTATCGGGGTAGATCACCATGGTAACTTACTCTGAACGGCTATCCTGCTCCGGAGCAGGGTAAGTTCAGGGTTGAATCTGATCCTGTAAAAAGCACCACCCACTGGCCAATCAGCTGTTCGGAAAAAAATGACTCCGCTGACAGAAATGCAGCCCAGTCATGACGGGAAGTTTAATTAATTTGATTGATTTTGATTTGAAAGTTTATTTTGAACATTAAAAAAGAAAAGAAAGCAACAACAACAGACAATGAAAAGATTGTTCAAAACGGAGTGGAAAGAAGTCGAACTTTCATCCCACCCCTTCATAAGAAAGAAACTGATCATTTGCGGACACTTAATAGCACCATTAATTAGTGCCAACATTTTGTTTTGTTGGAGGAAATGATCCCTGTTAAAGATAATGGGCCTAATTGACAGCTTTGCTGCTGGAAATGTGGAAAGTAGCCTATCATGTCTACACTTCATGGTGTTTGAGGGATTTTCCTTTTTGTTTTTTAAAGAGGGAGACTAGGTATATTTTTGCGCAGCTGTTAATTTCTAACACAGCTCAATATCAGGATGATTTTATTCAGACTATCAATTTGGTGTTGATATGATTTAATTGTGGCGTCAGCTTTAAGCTTTATTGTAGCATATATAACGTTATGACAAAGAAGACCAATTTATCAGACGCAATGATGTTAGACGATAATTGTAATACACGCAATTCATCTGCGCAGCATTGATTTCATGGGATTCAAGGGTGTGATCAGTGTCAGATGTACAGGTACAGGTACTGTAGCTACTTGAACCAGTGATGAGTAATTTAACCTACACATCATTTTATTTGCTACCTTGTTTTGTCTTGATTTTTCCCTCTCTCCTCCTCTATTTCTTCTTTCCTGACCCGTTTTTTTTCCTTCTCTATCATGTGATTTCATTGATGTTTTGACAGGGGAATTTCTTTGATAAGCTTTTAGTGGCTTCTAACCTCTCCGGCACTTTTCTTTGTTTAATCTTGTAAATTTTATACTGTCTGTTTTTAACATTATGTGCAAATAAACTAATCTAAACTAAAACTAAACATTATTCATCCCGTTATGCGTTGCCACGCATGTTTCCTCCTCCTGCAGCTGCCACGGTGTTGGCCTTTTCTCTAATGTTGCTTTCCTCCTCCTCATATTTTAGTAGAGTTAATCTCTGATCCTCACGAGAAATACTTTTTTTCCTCACATACAGCGCTCTGTGAGGACGCTCAGTGAGGACGCTCAGTGAGGACGCTCAGTGACGCTGCGCTTCTCTCATGATTGTGATTGGTCCGCTGCGTGCGCGTTCACGGCTTTTGATAAAGCAACCCTGGGTTGATTTACCGAGTTGATATCCAGCGTCGTGATACCGATTATCCTGATTGCCATTGTTAGGGTTAGTCAACACAGGATAGGTCTGGGTAACCCAGGAAAGGTTGATCTCGTGTCGTGATACAGGCCCCAGCTCTGTTGCCTCTGTTTGTTTTTTTACCACATACCTGAATTTTAACCGCTATGACCACAGAGATGAGCTCTTTATCAAGTTCCCTCATCACCACCAGCTTCTTCAGAGTCAGACTGCACAATCTGCAGAGACGAGAGAGGAGGAATGTTTAGTTGTTTGGTTTCACACCGCCACAACACCACTCATTCACACACACACACACACACACACACACACACACACAAACAGACTGTGTGTTCATTAAACAGTTTACACTAAAACACACACAGTATGTCAGGAATCACAGTGTGTGAATCGATTGGCAGGTTTAATGACTCTGTGCTGGTGTGATAATCTCATTCATACATCAGGTGTTAATTTGTGGTAATTTGATGCTTGTATGCAGAGCGGTTAAAATGTGTGATCAGGCAGAGGTCAGTGTTTCACGAGGACACACCAGCATGTTAGCACTGCTGATATTATGAGCTTATCACAGATTTAATGATATCTGTGTGTATGTGTAGGCTGATAAGTTAGAAAGAAATGACAGGACAGAAATGCCCATAGTATGTTTGAGGTCGTTTAGAAACAGCCATCTGTGTTACATAATATATTATGTCAACTGACCAGCTGTAAGACGTCCGCCTCACTTGTTAAATCCATCACACACACAGAAATTACTACGATAAAACTACAACTTGTTGACTGCAGATTTCTGATTATGTACGCATGAAATCAAAAAAAGTATTTCACTGGTGGAGGATTTTGCAAAACTTTGGATGGAGTCAGATAAGGTGTTTCCTCTGCCTCCAGTACTTCTCCACCTTATTCCTAGCCCCCATGATCCCTGCGTGAATTATGGGTGCAACTTTGAACCAAAACCGGGGATTTCCAGTGCTAATAGTTTGTTTACAGTACTCTGTTCCTCTTTCCAAGAGCAGCTGGGAAATAAAATGTGGAACACACCACCTATTATAGCTCAAACAGATGATGTGATCATACCTCTGCCATCTCTGACAGCCATCTCAAAGCAACCGAGCATGCTAGCAATTAGCTCGCCTTGCTACGTTAAAATATGGCTAGCTTAACATGTCTCGAGCTAGCTTAAGATAACATCTGCTCCTTCTAAAGATGATTTATGATTTTTGATGACTCATTAAGAGATACTAACACATTCAGGAAACATTTAACATAATTCAGTATTAACTGTAGCTCCATGTAAAGTGAATAAATGTCATGTTTCCCAGCTAATCCTCCACTCATCTGCGTTACAACGCAGTTTACATGTTTTAACTTCTGATTTATTAAAAACTATTCTGAGCGACATATATAACTGAATTTAGCAGCAGACTTCAGTAATAGTAATATAAAGTAGTGGTAAAAGAAGTAACTTTTGGCGTTCATTTTTTATATGATATAAAGAAAGTATGGAAAGACAGGGATATCTGTACTGACGTTGAGTGACAGACCTGTCAGTCGAGGTCTCATTCTCTGATTTGATACTTTTTCGCTGAGTCTCATGAAACTCTTGTGGTTTTATTTCTCATATCAATGGTACCTTTGGCAACAGGAACAATTCCTTTTTGTTCTGGTCACATGTTCAACACACAGTTGCTAAAGACAAAAAGCTAGCTTGGACTGGTTGTTAGTTGTTACAGACACGGACAGTGCAACAGGTACCAGAGCTCCGCAAAGACATTTTAGAAAATGCTATGTTAACATTAGTTAAACATTGTTAAAAAAAAAAAAAAATCAGTATTTGCTAAACTGAAGGCAAATTTCTTTCGAAAAGGACCAACGTTGGTGGTTAGCCACCTAGCGTAGCCACAGAAAGTCTATGGGACTAACTAGCTTACTGCTACTTCCGCTATCTCACAGGAAGTTCATTGTGCCCATAATCATTTCTACAGTTGTGCCCTCAGGAATAAGGTGGGTATGCTAAGCTAAGATAAGCTAAGCTAAGCTAAGCATGTCCTGGCTCTAGCTCCACACTTGACACAGTCACAGTGAAATAAAAACACATCTTCCAAGCAGTTATAAACCAGCGTCCCTGTGCTTAGTGTATCTCTTGTTTTATGCAAAAACAACAACAAAAACAACAACAAAATCCCCAAAGCACTTTTAAAAAATGCAATGCAACAGTATATTATATATTTACTCTACTTGTTCTTCAGAGGAAAACACTGTATTACTATTTACCTGACAGATAAATGTCACTGGTTATCGTGCAGATTTACATTTTATTCACAAAATACAACAATTAAAATGTGATGCATTATTACTCTTTATTGAAGCTCCACCTCAAACAGACGTTAAGTAAATTTAAGTACTCTGTGCCTTCAGCACTTCATATTGTTCTCCTCTGCCCCCTGCTTCATTCATCCTTGAACACATGCATTTAATTTCTTTAATGCCTGTATGGCACGGAAAGAAATCAGAAACACATGACATCATTTAGCAAACAATCTAATTGGTCTTGTTTTAAACTAGATGATTATTACATCAACTCTAGTTGTGACAAGCTGATGCCAGTCACTACATAATACTGCTTTTGACTCTAGTGGCCAGCAGTGAGATAGTGGGAAATATGCGATTTGATCAATCAGCAAAAACTTTATGTTTCTGCAAGAGTGCAGCTGAGGCCATCTTCCTCCACCTCCTGATATAACAATGTAGGTGTTTCAGGTGACTGACGAGGCTAAGGCCCTGATCAAAATGCGAGGCGCTCCGTACTGCCTGTTTTTAACAACACTGAATGCCGCTAGTAAAAATCCATCCAGATGTCTTCTACATATATTTAACTACCAAAACTCACAGGTGCTGCTGATGTAAACATGTGAGTTGGACAGCAGCCTAACTAGCTAAGTCAGAACGCCACACCAAAAATCTGGAGCTCCTAAAAGAAAAGTCAGAGTACAGAGAGGACAGGGAAATGAAAACTGGCAGCTCACTTTTAAAGATACAGTGAAGACACTTGTATCATATCAAACTCCTAAGGCATCCATCTTGCTGGAAAGGGGGCCAAATAATGCTTCAAAGTTATGCTAAATTTTGGCGAGGACAAAAAGGAACATTTGTCTTTTTTCAAAATGGTGTAATTTAATTTTTCTGAGTCCCTAAACAGCAGCAGCAAGCAGTAATATCTTCAATCAGTGTTTGATTTTACTGTTCTCTAATTATTCTTTGGAGGGCATTTCTTGCCCCAGGACACACATGTGACTTCCTCTGATTTTTAAACTAAGAAAAAAAAGGTCTTAACACAGAGATGATACAAAATACATGTGGAAATGTGATTAATTGGATTATATTAGAAGGAGGTATACATTTTTGATGACTGGAGTGAGAGAGGAAGAAGAGCAATTTAAGATCTTAAATTAGGATCGGGTTGAGACAAGAGACAAGCGTGAGAAGTGGTCAAAATCTCATATTGATGTTTAAGTGAGCTCAGTTAGGAGAAATAGGCCGGACAAATAAGAGATCTTATTTTGAATCTTTCATTCCTCTGCTGCCACAACCTCATCTAAAAAAAATGTTTTCTCATCAAATAACTAAACTGGTCACCAGAGTGATGGAGGAAGAGTTGGCTCCAGATCACAGAAACATTTCAACATTCCTTCACTTGTTAAACTAACTTAACATGAACCAAGGGTGTCGCAGCAGGCCGAGCTAAATCCTCTTTCACCGTCCCTGTGTCGGAGCGCTCCAGCAGACGGGCCTCTGCCAGCAGAGCAGAATAGAGACACTGAAGCAGGATGGTGGCGGGGCAGCCGGGGGTGGCATTGTTAGGGCAGCGTGGTGGTGGAGAGAGGGGTGGGGGGTGGGGGGGGGGGCTGCTTTAACAAGCCTGTCACGATTTTTTGAGACACTTCCTCACAAGCTGAAAGTGACAAAGAAAGGTTTTTCTTTAAAGGAGCTTTTCTTTGGTTCCCTTGACTGGATCATTGAGGAGAGCTGCTCTGAACAGGCTCTCAGTCTGGAGGCCTATTTTCACCAGCCATTTATCATCCAGCTCCTTTCTTAGCGCAAAATTAAACAGTGTTGCTGCAATGACATCACTCCCGAATTATTCTGGGGGCATTGAATGTCGTTCAGCTGCAGGCTATTCAGCGACAGCGAAGGTTTATTGTCACGCAAAGTAAAAGATGTGGGTCAAAACTGCCATGAGTGAGGAGGGAGAAATGTGCTCAGCGCTGAGTGGAGTGGAAACATTAATACACCGATATCCCCTGTCACTTAGTGCACAGGCTGAGGGGTTGACCTTGGATGTAATTTAACTCCTCTCCATTTCTCCTATTTTAAGAACTGGAGGCAAAACACTGACAGAAAGGTGAAGCCAGCAGACAAAAGCAGCACTAACAAGTCTTTTAAAAACCACACAGTGTGCCGAGTGACATAACGCTGCAGCAGAGGGGCATCAATCAGCCCTGAGAGAAAGGAAAACATTGGGACAGGCAGAGAAGAAGCGATGACAATGGCAGGTTTGAAGAAGCCCCAGCAGGCTGAATGAAGACCTTTCTCTTCTTCGGCTGAGCCCAAGAAATCTCAAGCACAATGGACACAAGCCAATGAAGGCTCACATTGTCTCTGGCTCTCACACGAGACAATACGCAGCATTCTTGTTCCTCCCGTTTTGTATTCTACCCTGCTCCCGTTGGTCCCAAGCCCACAGCACCATCTATTTCAGTTATGCTAGGTGGCTGGATGTTGGTTTGCGTGGGCAGCCAAGTGATATCTGCCACACATGCAGCTCGGCTAAAAAGTCACATTTTATCCCCCACAATGGGTTTGTCGTACGAGTACTGCGTGTGCTCCACGAGCTAATCTGCCCAAAGGAACAGAGCTGAAATGTTTCTAATGAAGCACCACTTCATTTGTAAGAGGATCTGCGCTGACCCATTTCTCTCTGGTTGGTGGCATAAAACTCTGACATGAACTTTAAGTGGGAGTGTTTCTGATTTGTGTGGACACAGTGGTGACAATTTCCCGTTAGAGGTTGTTCGGCTTCACAAAAAATATTTTGGTTTCAAGGGCTCCAGGTCGTCTTCTACTGAAACAGGCTTTTTGGAGTGATATACTCTGGTTATACCTGGTTTTAACATACAGTTTGGTGATCCAATCACAAGTGGACAGCCGAGACACACTG